CGTTATTCATAATCATATATATTTTTATTTAACTACGCCAACACCAACTGTTCGAAAATTAGTAAAAGTAATTGGAAAATTTTTCTTAAAAACACCTTGGAAAATGGATGAACATTCTAATTTTCCAACTGTACGAAATTATGAATTATTTAGGTATGTGAGCATACAGATAACTTGGACAAAATTTCATATATACTCGTAAATATTAAGATGAAAAACAAACACTAATGAAATTGAATTGAAAAGAGTAACAAATTCGTAAACAGCATTACATTATACCGTCCGTTCTCCAACACATTCATCTGCATCTCCATCTTCCTATTCTCCCCACTGTTGTCACCTTCTTCGGCGCTCTTCAGTATCAACGACGGAGGACTAATTGACGCGTTTCCATTCTTATTCACCAAAATCTCTTTAAAATACACTGCAAAAACCCTACAGTTCTCGTCCACAACCTCTTCATACTCTCTCTCCACCTCCCTCAGCTTCGACGCTTGCTCCTCACTCATATGCGACAACAACTTCGCACAAGGAAGAACCACGGATTCGTCGGAAAACGAGTAATCACCCGCGTCGCGGCTTGAGCTCGCGGAAGCAGAGGATAGAATCTTTGTCCTCTGTTCATCGAACCATCGGAAAACAGGGAGGAGGTGGAAAGAGAAGAGGTGTTCGTAGAGACCGGGAGCGATTTCGGATCGAGCGAGGGAAGGGATGGAGTGGAAGATTCGGAGTAGGCTGATGGAGGATTCGGTTTGGCGGTTAGAGAGGGCGCGAATGAGAGAGAGGAGGAAGGAGGAGACGGGGAATTCGGGGAGAGGGAGGAGAAGCTTCTCGACGAGGGAGAGGGAGGAGGTGCGGATGGCGGGGCTGGAGAAGGAAATCGCGCTTTCGAGAGTGTCAGTAGCGAGGTTCAGGTGTTTTAGGGTGATTTGGTCGGAAATTGCGGTGTCACGGAGGAGAGTGGCGATGAGGCGGCGTCGAAGTTCCGATTGCGAAAGGACGGCGGAGATGAATGCGGAGGTGTGGCGGAGGATCTGAGCTCGAGTGGTGACCGTTACGGTGGTCATGGCGGTGGGAGTGAGTGAGGTGGTGGAATGTTGGGTCCGTTTGTGGGGTTTATGACTCAACGGAAATACCAGTAACCGATTCAATTTGCCGGAACGAATGGGCTCGGCCGGCAGCTTTATGAAATGACCAATTTGACCCTTATTTCGGTTTTACCTTGTTTTATTTCGATAATATATATAATGTAAAAAAAAATTTTACGTTGAAATAGTAAAACTCATGTCATATGTTCATGCGTATATACTAAGAAATTTATAAAAATTAAAATTGTTTCTTACAGGCTTATATTTTTCAACATTAATATTTATTCAACATCTAATGTTGTTGTTTATTGTATATTAATTATTTCAACATTAATATTTATAAAAAAAATTGTTTATTACAGGCTTATATTTTTCGATAGAGATTTTAATCAGTGCTGTTAAATTTAAACTCGTTGTAAGCTATGCTTCATTTCATCTAATGGTGTTGTTTAACTTGTAAAATTTGGTCTTAAGATAGTCGTTTTACTGTTTCTATTAAAATTGTATAAAGATATTATGAAAGGACAGAAATAATTTATTGGGTAAGTGTCCCCAATATTAAACGTAGTAGATATAGACAAGCATGCCAGGGGAGAATCACATAAAGTATAGTTTAAGATTAATTTCTATTAAAATGAATAACTAATGATGTCAAAATGGGAACATCTCCACAGCTGTGTGCATTTTGGTAACTTCATCCACTTTGAAATCTCGCGGCAAAACATGAACGGGTGGGACCCAATTTGCCGCCCAGCCGGCTCAGATTAACCGTTGATCATACATCATCATATTTTAGATGTAATATGTAATATTAAAATATTGGTGGAGCTTTCATGCAATTTTAATACAAGTTTTGACAACTGGAACCTTGAAGAAATGCTGCCAATTCGGATCACCACCAAAATTTCCTCTTCCTCGTACCAAACATTGTTCAAAAGCTACATTTATCAATGACACTTCAAATTTCTAACTATAATAATGATAATAATATGGAAATGGAAGAAATTTCTCTAAAAATAAAATTAATATTAAATGGTAATTGGTAATTGGTAAATATTTTACTTAATTAAAAACTTAGAAATTTGTAAGGAAACGGTTTCAAATTTATAAGAAAAAAGAAAAGTATTTTCCTTCAAATTCATACTTCTGATTTTCTTTACATGAAAATGAAATTATATAAATTTATTGGGCTTAATACTTTTTTCCTAAACATTAACATATATACATATATATATATATATATATATAATAAATGTATTTTTTAATTTTCAATAAAAAATTATTATATATGTGATTATTGTATTTAATATAACAAAACAAAGAAATAAAAAATTAGAAAATCAATGTTGCTTTTATTTTTATTTATGGTAAAGAAAAACAAAATAACAAATAAAAAAATTACAATCTCAATTTTAATACTTTATACTACCAGTGTCAAAAAGTAATCTCAAATTTGTAAAAATTAATATTTAATTTTTGAAATTATAATTTAAAAATTCATAATTATTTATATATATATATATATAATTTTCACACAAAATATATTTAATAATAATTTTTCATTTTTTTCAACTGTGTTTTTATATTTAAAATAAGATTAGCATATTTATAAAAAATATTTTAATAATTTCTATTATAGAGTTAATAATCTCTATCGCATTAAAGTAATATAATAAATATTTTATTTAAATTTCAAGCTATTTTTAACGTATGAAGCATGACTTTTTTATTTTTATTTAATATTATTGATAAGTTTTAAATAATATACAAAGAAAATATTATGTATTTTACAAATTAAAACTAATGTATTACACAGATACAGATTCTTTTATTATTATTATTGGTTAAGAATCACCCAACAGTCATATTAACAATTATCAGAGGCTAACACGATTTTTCTTAACTTATATAAAAAAATTCATTTTCTAATTTTTTTTAATAATTCCTTTAAGATGGTGAAGGATCAATATGTTTTTTTTTTCATGCAATTATGTCACACCACTCGTCCACTACTATAGCAAAGAGACACACACATATATTGGATAGTATATATAATTTTATTTTGGTGAGGGATCAAATTTTTTTCATCCTACAGAAAAAAAAAAGTTATTTTCATGTAATTAGGCCCATCATTAGTCGAATACTCTAGGAAACAAAAATAGTTTCGTGCTTAAGTGTTGTTCATTTACTTCATGTTTTAATAATATGACATTTTATTTGATTTTAGCGGTACAATTTGACGATGGTGAAGGATCAAAATTTTCTTTACATGTAATTAGACCACACTCGTCAACTACTCTAGGAAAAATAAAATTGTTCCTTGCTGTAAATAAGTTGTGTTGAATTGAACTAAGTATTTAAATTTCAATGTATGTATATATATATATAAAGTTTTACTTGCTTAAGCTCAATTATAAATTTGTTATATAATTTAATATATTATTAATATAATTTTATCTTACGTTAATATGATTTTAACAACTAAGATGCCCTGCATTGATTATTCTGCGGCTTTTAATCCAACTATTTAAATTATTATTTAATATTATATTAATATATTTTAGCGGATAAATTGTTATGTAGTAAAAAATGTCACAGTAAAAGATTTGTACCTATAATTAAGTATTTAATAAGTTAAATAATATTAATTATTGACTGTATGAATCAAACTGACATAAAATTATTTAAGTTTAATTAATTATCTCAAATTTGAGTTTTAAATATACATTTATACTAAATGTTTTTAAAAAAATGTTTTAAATAATTTTTTTTCTTTTCCTTTCCCTTTTTAACTTCCCACACAATGTGAAGTTTTTTAAAAGTTAACCTTTTGTGTATATATATGTCATTTTAGCTATATGCAAATTTTATTCTAACAAAGCAATAAGTAGCTAGGTTGATGCGGCATTTATATATGTGACTCGGGAATCTAGCTAGGAGTTACAATAGAAAGTAACATGAAGTTAATCTTCGTTACACCGAGGGGATCAAAATTAGACAGTTTTAGAAAACAAAGGCCATAGCAATATCATTGTTACTTCAAACGATATATTTTAACCTTTTCCTTCACCCTCTGGAACCTTCGACCCGACATTGAACAACTTTTTCGTTTCACTGAGTCACATATATTATATAGTGCAAAGTATTCTTAATTTCACTTCAAACTAGTTAGTTCAAGTGGACGGTGGTAGATACCGTATATATATGTATATATATAATCACTTAATTAGATGCCAATGTCATTTAATTTAGTTTTAACTGTGGGAGTTAAAACTCAAGTTAGTTCAAAAACACACACGATCATTTTGATTCCTTGAACAAACGAACAACGAGAAAAACACATCAACACAAGAAAAACACTCACATCTTACAAAAGGGTATTCACACACGTTACAAACGGAGATAGAGTATGGACAATGCTGTAATGTGCTTTTCCCGAAGGCTTAATTTTATTCCTATAAATTATAGTGTTCATGATCCATAGTTATAGTGTATGAGGGTGTCACAAGCTTCTCAAAGATTTTCAGTGCAGAACTTGGTAAGGAAAATAAACAACATGCAAATATTTATTCATGATACAGAAGCTATTTCGTGTCTCTCTAGGTGTCATTGTCAAATAGTCATATTTGTTCCAAAACTACGTTTAGTTCTTCATATGACTATTAATATGTCCGTATCATAATTTTATTTTTTTTCACTAATTTCTTTCAATTCCCAAAATGCGACAATGAATTGGATGATAACTAGGTCCACATGCACCAACTGAGTAACAAGGAGGGATACTGTGTGTGTGTGGAAAACAAAGTGTTTTTGTTTTTGTCTGATTGTTTCTATATAAAAACAAAGCTCTTATAATAACAATCTTCAACTATATTTTGTATGTAACCTTTCCATGTGTATCACAGAAGAAAAATGGAGATATCAGTGGAGCAAGAGAAAGCCACCGAAGTGGTTGTAAGGAAAAAGGGTGGTTACATAACCATGCCCTTTATCATAGGTGATGACCCCTTTCTTTACATAAATGAAATATATACCGTGACCCTTTTCAAATCATTTCATATATTGTATTAAAAATCATGCTTTTTCGTTTGGTACAATAATGTGTTAGTGAAGTATATGTATCAGTTTTAGGATTCTAGCCAGGTTGTGGTTTCCAACCTTTTTTGTTTTTTTTGCTTTTAGCGAACGAGACTTTTGAAAAGGTTGCAAACGTGGGGCTCCATGTGAATATGATTTTGTACCTGCTACGAGAGTATCATTTTGACCCTTCAACAGGAGCTATTGTAATATTTCTGTGGAACGCCTTGTCCAGTATTATGCCCATTTTTGGTGCTTTCCTTTCCGATTCTTGCCTTGGACGATTTCGTGTTATTGCGTTGGGAACAGTCATTGATCTTCTTGTAAGCTAATACTATACTCTTATTGAATGTCCAAGAAGCATTAGAATCAACTTCATCACATTTCTAGTTTCTAGTTTTGAGAACGTACTAATAGAGTAAGAGTATCCTCAAATTAAATTTGAGATCAAATGGACGGACATTTTAGTTCTTAGAAATTTTTTAAACTTTATATTGTTCACCCACTTTTGAAAATACCATTTATTTTAGTCCTTTTCAATGTATAGTGACAGTAAAAAACTGAAGTAAAAATAATTATAATAATTTTCATAAACTGATGAAAGGTTTCTATATTAAATATATTTTAGTCTTTATAAAATTACTAAAATTTGACTTCAATTTCTAATCAAAATTTATTTTTTCAGTCTTTATACTTTAAAAGAATAGTTTTTTTTATATTATCAAAAACTAAATGCACATAATTTTCATATTTTATAAAAACTAAAAACAAATAAAAAGTTAATACGAGATTAAAGTTAAAATTTGATAATTTTATTGAGATTAAAAATATATATCACAGTTTTTTAAAATCTCATATACAAAAAATGACGTAATCTAAATTAAGCAATTTAAGGTCAATTTAATATAAAGCTTTAATAGAAAGCTTTAATACAATCGAAAAGACTAATTTAATGATTTACCCAATTAAGTATCCTAAATCCTCAAATCAGGAATCTCTTACAGGCTGATTTTTTTCTTCATTACAGGGATTAATTGTGTTGTGGCTTACTGCAATTATTAGGCATGCAAGACCTGAGTGTATAGCAGGACTTTGTGCAAGTCCAACAGTACCGCAACTCCTGTTTCTTTTCTCTTCACTTGCTCTTATGGCATTGGGAGCTGGTGGCATTAGGCCATGTACCTTAGCCTTTGCTGCTGACCAAATCAACAACCCTCAAAACCCACGAAATGAGGCGACCATGAAAAGCTTCTTCAATTGGTATTATGTTTCAGTTGGTGTTTCAGTGATGGTTTCAGTTATATTTATAGTGTACATTCAAGTGAAAGCAGGGTGGGTTGTGGGTTTTGGGATTCCTGTGGGGCTTATGTCCTTTTCTGCTATCATGTTTTTCTTGGGTTCCTTCACATATGTCAGAGCGAAACCAAACAAGAGCTTGCTCTCTAGCTTAGCCCAAGTGATTGTAGCAGCCTGGAAAAACAGAAACTTACCCCTCCCTCCCAAGAACTCTCACACTTGGTATTTCCATAGTGGCTCTAGTCTTGTTCAACCAACGGACAAAGCAAGGTAAATACCAATTTATCATACCACAGATGTTGAAAATTAGAGTAAAACACTCAAATTATTTGTTATTGAAAAATTTAGGTGGTAAGTCTTTTAAAAACTATAAATCTTATTTTGATCTGTAATAAATGTCAGTTTTTTTAATCTTTTTTCGAAAGACTAATGTGTCACACTAAAATTTTCAAGATAAATTTAGATTCACCCTGATTTTTTTTTTGGAAAGTCAATACAATTCACCTAAAAATTAATAGACAAAAATAAATACAGATCTTATACATCACATATCATGACCCATTTCCTATTTTGTGGTGTTACATTATTATTTATAGGACTTATTTAGTGTGTTTTAATTAATTCAATATTCGACTCTCACTCTACCTAGATTCTTGAACAAGGCATGCATGATCAAGAACAGAGAAAAAGATTTGGACAGTGATGGGATGCCCATTGACCCATGGAGGTTATGTACAGTAAGACAAGTTGAGGAGTTGAAAGCCATAATCAAAGTCCTTCCCATTTGGTCCACAGGCATCATTCTTGCTACTACCATAAGCCAACAAACATTTTCTGTGGTCCAAGCAAGCACCATGGACAGGGTTGTGTTGCATATGGATATTCCACCCACCAGCTTCAGTGCATTCATAATCCTCACTTTGACCATATGGGTGGCTATTTATGATCGCATTCTAGTTCCTTTGTTACCAAAGGGAAAAGGACTCACCCTTATGCAGAGAATGGGAATAGGAATAGTGGTCTCATGTTTGGGCACTGTGGTGGCAACGTTGGTAGAGATGAAAAGAAGAAATGAAGCCATAAGAGAAGGGTTCATAGACAACCCCCAAGGAGTGGTAAACATGTCTGCTATGTGGTTGGTTCCACAATATTGCCTATATGGTTTAGCTGAGGGTTTGAATATCATTGGACAAATAGAATTCTATTACACTCAGTTTCCTAAGACCATGTCAAGCATTGCTGTTGCTCTTTCTACCTTAGGCTTTGGCATGGGAAACTTGTTGGCTAGCCTTATTGTCAAGATTGTGAAAGATGGGACAAGTAGAGGAGGACAAGTTAGTTGGCTTGCATCAAATATCAATAGAGGACACTATGATTACTATTATGCACTCCTTTTCATTCTAAATTTGGTTAATTTGTTCTTCTTCTGCATATGTAGTTGGGCTTATGGGAGTACTCATGATATTAAGAATTGGGATGAAGAGGTTGACACAAAAGTAGTACCTGAGAAAGAGATGGACACTACATGAGCAAAAAATGAACAAAAGAAACGAATGTATTCTCTTGTATATGATACCAGTGCTTGGATCCGTGCAACGCCCATAAACAGCAGAGTGTACTTAGATTATTTAAATATCGTACATCAAGAAAAATTTGTTACACCCTTGATTTTTACATGAATGGTAAATCAAGGGTCAAATATTAAAATTTCAGTTTAATCAAATTGAGAACATACTAAGTGCAATTGAAATAACCTTATGATCTATAACTAAAAAGAACGCGCGAGGTTAAATGTGTTGATTTAGATTATTAATTTATAACGACAGAAAAACTTGTAATATAATTCTTTCCTAAATTAGAATTTATTCACATAACATTTCTTTTTCCAAAATACACTCTATGGACAGCGTTAAAGAATTGTTTTCACTTGCAATGTTTATTATATATTAAAGAAAGTAATATTCATAAAATGAAACCAATGACAAAATTTGTTTCATAATTTATTGTTTTATTATTCAATTCTGAAAAATAATATATTAATTTTTCAAATCGAAAAGCATATTTCCTTTGTCCTTAGAGCCTGTTTTGATTAGACTATATTTTTAAAGATTCTAATCTAATTGATGAAAAAAGAAGTTGATATTGCGATTTATATGTATTTGATAAATTGAATTATAATAAAAAAAAGTATAATCTTAAGAAAGAAAATTGTTTTGATGATAATAAAAAATTTAGTTTATACGTTAACAGTTTTCTTTAGTATTTTTTTTATCCACGATAATTAATTAGAATACATATAAAATTAACTACTGTAAATGATTCCATATCTTCGTTTATAACTTTATTATAAAAGAAAACAATTCAAACAAAATAAAATATTTTTAAATCACTTCATATAAAACATATTTAAATATGAAATTTATTTTATATAATTGATTATAACAACAAATTAATTATTAAAAGAATCTATTTTTCACAACATTCAACTCATACTTAATGAATGTATTGCTCCTTTAAACCAAAATATTGACGATTAATTCTGATAATAAAAAAGTAAAGATTGTAAAACGTTTGCAACAATGGTGATGATGAATAAGGATCGACCAAAAACATTCAATTAAATCTTCGTTTTTAGCTGTTATTTAGATGAGGAGAAAAGTAAATAAAAAAATAGAAGTAAAATGATTTTTTAAAATTTAGATTAAAAAATTAGAAAATAAGTAAATGAAATAAAAAATGAAAAATAAATTAAAAAATTATCGTTCTTAATAAATTTACTCAGGTGAAACACAAATTGAGCAAATTAACTCCAAAAATATTGAAAACTGAAATAATTAGAAAGAGAAAGAAAACAATGATAAAAAAGACTGAAGGGGGAGGCTTTGGGAAGTGTTAGGGAGTGAGGCGCAGATGGAGCCTCCACCACCCAAGAGCTGGAGCATCCATACTCGATCCGAAATCATCGCCAAATACCAGATAATGGAACGGGTCGGGTCAGGCGCTTACGCCGACGTCTACCGTGCCTGTCGTCTCTCCGACGGCCTCACCGTCGCCCTCAAGGAAATCCACGACTACCAATCCGCGTTCCGAGAAATCGACGCGCTTCAGCTTCTGCAAGGCTCCCCAAACGTCGTCGTTTTGCACGAGTACTTCTGGCGCGACGACGAGGACGCCGTCCTCGTCCTCGAGTACCTCAGAACCGACCTTGCCACCGTCATCGCCGACGCCGCCAAGGCTAATGAACCTCTCCCCGTCGGCGAGATCAAGCGCTGGATGATCCAGATTCTCTCCGGCGTCGACGCCTGTCACCGCAACATGGTCCTCCATCGAGATTTGAAGCCATCTAATCTCTTGATTTCCGATAACGGACTCCTCAAACTCGCAGATTTCGGACAAGTAATGTCAAAACCCTAACCCTCTTTTTTTTTTTTTTAATTATATCGGAAATTAAATGTTTGAAATCGAATGATTGATAGATGGATAGATTGTTTTCTCAGGCGAGGATTCTTACGGAGCCTCGATTCGATGCTTCGGAGGATAACACTTATAATAACGAAGAAAGTTCTAGAGTTTTAGATGAGATTGATAAGGACGCTAACATTCGTGACGGAAACGCAACATGCAACACTAGTGACGTAGATAATGAAATGCGGGAAGGGGAAGATGAAGAACCTGGTTGTTTCACATCGTGCGTTGGAACTCGTTGGTTCAGGGCTCCTGAGTTGCTTTATGGATCCAGAGACTACGGTTTAGAGATTGATTTATGGTCCTTGGGATGTGTCTTTGCAGAGCTTTTAACTCTGCAGCCTTTGTTTCCTGGAACTGCTGATATTGATCAACTCAGCAGAATCATTAGTGTTTTGGGTAACCTTGATGAGAATCTTTGGCCTGGTTGTTCTAAGCTTCCTGATTATGGAATCATATCGTTTAGCAAGGTGGAAAACCCTGCTGGTATTGAAGCCTGTTTGCCCAATCGTTCGCCGGATGAAGTGTCTCTGGTTAAGAGGTTGGTTTGTTATAATCCGCCGAGGAGGGCTACGGCAATGGAATTGCTTTGTGACAAGTACTTTAGTGAAGAACCTCTTCCTGTTCCTGTTTCTGAGCTGAGAGTTCCTTTGACAAGAAAGGAAGGGGATGAGGATTCCCCTGGTAGTGGGTGGCTTGATTATGAGGACATGGGTTCTGATTCTGATTTCGATGACTTTGGCCCTCTGAATATCACCAGAACGGGAACCGGTTTCTCCATACAGTTTCCTTGAGCTTTAAGGAATTCAAGGTACATTGTATTCTTGGAACTGCCCATTGTCGTATGTGTTGTGTTGTTCAATATTTTATTTGCTGAACATCATCTGGAAATTGTGCAGTGAGAATATTGATGAGAAAAATCTCTTTTTCTGTTCTGACATTCATATATGTGAAGTTTATGAACAAAGGGATAAATTATTGAAAAGGAAGCCTAATGGATTATCTATGTTACAATGACATATTTAGTTATTATATAATATTATATGGTTTTGCATCTTTAATGTTAGTAAATAACGTGACAATGTGGTGTCACTTAGTAGAAAGACGAGAAAAATTTAGAGTCTAAGTCTTATTGCTTTTGTGCAAGTGAGAGCCTGAGAGGATTTATATTTGTAGTACAGCATCATGTAAACACTGAGTTCTTTATGGATGGAAGTGTCAAATTCTGCAGTCCAGCCATATAATTAATTATGAAGAGAGCCAAATGCTACATGCCCTTCGTTTACTTTGGTAGTACTTGGTTCCATGTCCTCCAAGGTAGTTAAAATCGGGATTTTACTTTAAATCGTAAAGGAGAGTGAAAATCGTAAATCGTAAAATCGTAAATTGAATCGTAAGATTTTATAAAATTCATATATATGATATAAATTCATATTATTCATATAAAATATCATAAATTAAGGGAAAAAAGCTTCAAATCAGTAAAAGTACTTAAACAACGTAGCACTCACAAATCATAATTTATTCCATAAGAATGTAATGCATTTACATGAATAAAAAATAGACCAGAACAGAAAAGATGCAAGAACAACAACAATAGATTTAGTTGCAGACCAGGTTGCACGCACTAGGAGGACTGTTGAATGTTAACAACAATGTTAGGGTTCAAAGCTGCTAGAGGCAAATTAGATTCCATAAAAAGGAGATATATGAAAGAGGCGTACGATAGGGTTCAACAAAATAGACTTTGCGAGAAATTTTCAAAGTCGAAGTGAAATCGTAAAATCCCACAAGTTGAGGGATTTTATAATTCAAATCGGAATTTTACAAGGATTTTACTCAATTAGGATTTTATCTACGATTTAAATCGGTGAGACTTCCAAAATCGTAAAATCGTAAGATTTTAAGATTCAAATCGAGATTTTAACTACCTTGATGCCCCCCACCATTATGACTTCTGGTAAATCTTTTTCTGTTCTGTATCATGATTCGGTAAGTCTAATCTATATACCTTTTATCTGCGTTCTAAATGGTGCAACCGATTGTATGATTCTATTCAGATGTGGGAACCTGAGTCAAAGCACATTCTTGTGTTGCTTTGCAAATGAATATCACTCTTGCTAGGCATACGCAGATACTGCCTAAATTCATTAGTAGATTTCTGGAAGGAGAGAAGTTGATCACGGTGGAGGTTGCTGGCTAAAGGTTTATCCTATGCTTTCTTTTCTTTCGTTCAGATTTTCTCCCATAACATTTGCTCCTTTTGATTGCAGAGGGCATTAATAGTTTATAACAAAAATTGGCTGAAGGGGCATGAGCTAATATTTATTAAAAGATTAAAAAAAAAAAAACAAATGAAACAGCATTGTAACAAAATAATGAGTTATAATAAGTAGTGTTATTTGCAGCTGTAATGAAATTTGTTAAGAATTGTATAGACTAGCTTCCTATATACATCAGAAATCCAGGGCAACTAATTGAAAAACAATTTGTATCGACGTCGAGTTTTATGTTGAATCTTTTTTGCATTTGTGAGCGGAATTTAATTTTTTGTTCAATAAGATCTTATAAGTATGAAGAGTTATGTCATATTTTATTACAAATTTTTTTTAAATAAATTTTAAAAAAAAAACACATTTTGATGACTTATTAGAGGTTTATTATCAGCGTAAGATAAGATTAATTGTGATGATTATTTCACGTGTAAAAAAAGTATAAAATTTTCTTATTTATAAATGGTATAATAGATTTTACTTTATAAAACCTGTAAAAAAGGTATGAAATCCTTTTACTTGTAAATGGTACATTATATTTTATCATAGATTTTACCATTTATAAAAGGCATAAGTTACTCTCAAGCGTATGGAGAATTAATTTGGAGAATGATCATTGTGCCTCTTATTCTTTCATATTCCTCGCCTAATAAAGAATTGAACTGTGGTTTGACTTTTGTGATGAATTACTCATGTTCGCTTATATTGGCTGCCAATTACAGGTGTCTTTCATGGTCCAATTTCAAAGACATTCTTGAAATTTATTGGGCAGTTCAATTGAAGTTTTCAAACTTTAATCCAGTTAAGCGTTTTCACACTTGATAGGCACTTTCAGAATAAGGTTAATGGTTTTATCTAGTAACATGTTTTGCATGGACCATGGGGCCCCATACAGAAGAAGCCCTTGCCCTTTCGGCCAGGTGGAGTGGAGCTTGTTATATATTCGTTTGCTATCATTTCATAATGAATACAAAAATATAAGCATGCCATATCCTTTTCAATTTATTGTCTTAGACACGTGCAGGGAAGAAACACATTTTCTTTTCTTTACCATTTTTATTGGTTCCAGAAAAGATAAAACTATTATACAGAATTGAATTCAAAGAATATCAAATATTTGACATTTTGAAAAACACACACACACACACATATATATATATAATTCCCCAGTGTTGCTCTTGTATGAAATTATGATTTCGTTCGTTTTGATGTTCATTTAAGTTACATTTATTATTATGTTATTTAATAAAATTTTATTGGATAATTTATCTTAAAATTAATTGATATATTTTTTTGTGTAGTTAAAAATAAAATGACAAGAAAAAAATTACAACAAGTTATATTTTAAAAGACAAAGAAATGCACTCCATCAAAAGAAGACTAAATATACATAGAAGCATTTTTTTTAAGCTTCAGTCTTGATCAAATCATTTGTTAACTTGATCTAACCTCTACCTATATGGAGGGACAATGTTCCCTCAATCCGATGTAAATTAATAATATCTTTAATAACGAGTATAAAAAATAATTTATTTTTTCATTAAAAATTTGATAAATTTACTTGATTGATTAAAAGTTTTTATCGTTAAATCATGTCATTAAATTTAAGATTAATAATAAACTATCGAATATCTTGTTCTTATATAATAAATTTAACACAATATATGCTTTCAAAATATGCAAAAAACTAATTTATTAAATTGTTTACTAGGAAGGACAAAAAGACATATATTTAGTAGATATCATAAATATTGTGAGAACTACAAAATGCATATATCATTTTCTCAATCATTTAATAATAATAAAAAAATCCTTTCTTATAAATATAATAACTTTGTGATATTCAAACAGATATTATTTATTATCAAATTTAACATATATAATGAATTTTATGTATTAATATATAATTTTAATTCAATAAATAGTTTGACAAAATCACATTTTATTTATATTTATTGACAACATATGTAATTTATATCAATATAAATTATTCCTTCAATGAAAAATATTTAATTTTAATACTGTAAAAAAAAACATTATCCTCATAAACATCTAACATAATTTTATAATTCATAACCAATGCAAAAATATTTAATCCATACAACTGAGTGAATTAAAAGTTAAAGTTTTATCTATTATGTGCGAAACAAAACAAAAAATTATAATCACAAAACTATACAGTAATTTAATTGATAAAACTAATTGCACAATTAACTCAAAAACTATGCTAAATGACTTAAAAACAATATATAATTATCATACATGAGTAAATTAATAAAAATTTTCAAACTAAAACAAAAAACTAATTATTAACGACTAGTTTTTAGAAGCTTTTGGATAATTTATTAAAATTTAACTTGTAAAATTTATAAATTTGTTTATTATTCATCAAACAAATTTTCTAACTTATTAAATCTCAAGCCAATAAATGCAAGTTCATAAATGAGTTACAAATTTATGTTACCAAATACAATGTTAATTAAAAAAGGAAAATTCTTTCATTATCTCATATACGTTAGTTTTAATTAAATCATTTTTTTATAAAACATACCGCAATAATGACATATTTCTAATAATAATAATAATTAATAATACATTCACAATTTATTTTAATTAATTAATTTTTAATTTATATCCAATAAAACATAAACAATCAATAAATGGTATTTTTTAAATTATAACACTTAATTTTATTAATGCATTAAATTTTGTGATTTTTAATATTTTTAATAAAATTATACTTTTATTGTGTGTTCACATTAAAACTTCATTAATTCAATTCATAAAATGATGCATATAGATTTTTTAAAATTTGTTGTTATTTATTATAAATTATTAAAAAACTATGAAAATATATATTTAAAAATAAAACAATATAAGGGGTCAAAAAATATAAATAACATAATAAATTAATAAATTAAGAATGAAATAAAAATGTGATTTGACTATTTTAATAAAAAATATTAATATAATTGAATTTGATAGAGCAATAAGTGCATAAACCGTAAAAAAGTTTACTCATGGAAGTCAACAACTTGGGTGGGACCGCTTTATTTTAGCGCCAAATTCTCTCTTTATTTACACCCTAGGTTTAACCCCGAAACACAATCCTCTGTATCAAACCCCACCCACGTCACGTGACGCAGCCAATCACAGAGCCAAACCACTTCCATCACACGGAAATGCTTTTTAATCCAATGGCAGAGAAGGAAACACGAGCGACGCTGCTATGAATTTGCGCCGCATGATTGGTACTTTAATCGAGAGCCGCACGATGAAGCGGACGGAGAGATCCGAGCGTTCAATATTTACAAAAAATTGAATTTCAAAAGCTCGAGAGAGAGAGGGAGCAGAAGAAAGAAAGAAAGAAAGAAAGAAGAGAGAGGCGAAGGCTAACAGCACCAACAACAACACTCTCCACTCTCTCTTCTTCTTCTCTGTTTGTTTTCTTCTTCTTTCTCTTTGTGTGCTGTGTCGGTGTTTCGATCCACTTGTGTCTCTTGATTCGTTCACTCGTTTCGTTATTTGGATCTGAGAGTAGCTGAATTTGAGCTTAATTTTTCTTCAATTGGCGATGGTTATTGGCGTTGTTGTTATCTTGAGGGAATAATAAGGGGTGTGTGGAGTGAAGTTGTTATTATTGTTTTTAAATAAATTTTGCTGGTTATTGTAATTTTGTATCTGATGGGGGAAGGTGAAGGTGAAGGGAGTGATTACCCTTCTAAAAGTGTGTCAAACGATGCCGTTGCACCTGCACTGTTGTCCTCCGATGTTCCCGCCAAGAAGCTTGCGAGGCAACTCGATTTCACCGCTTTTGCCGGGATGCCGCCGCCGGAATACCCCCAGCCGCCAGTTACTTTGACGCCGGTGCCGACTATGCCGCAGCCTGCGATTCCTTCCCTGAGGGCTGGGTGAGTTGTTAGATGCTATTTTGTTACTGTTTTTTTTTTTTTTTAATTAACGAAGACGTGGATTTCCGGATTCTGGAGAGAAGATAAGGTGTAATTGAGTTTTTTTCTTTTTTTTTTTTTTAAATTGTCGGTTTTGGAAATTTTGGGATTGCATAAAGTTTCGATTTTGAATGGAGGGTTTTTGATATTTCTGTTTGGGTTTCTAATACATGCGAGACGTTGCAATTTGTGATTAGCAAATTTTCCATGCTCGCAACACCGTTCTTTTTCTATTCGTTCTTCCTTCCATTCTAATTAACAGGTTTTTTATTGGCTTTATATTGATATGCTGTGATATCAGCTTGGTATTTGGAAAAGTTGATTGGAGGTTTCGGGGTCTTCAGTTAGTGAGGAAGTTGACTTGCAAATGCAGTTTGTAAACTAGTGTATAGTAAAATTTCCTTTTTGGTTTCGGTGGTTGGGAAATGAGATGGAAGTAATCAGTAATTACTCTTATGTTGTGCTTATTTAGTATCTTTTTGAATGTTTTTTTTTACAGCTGAGGTACTTGTTAATTTGGATTGTTATTTGTTTTTTTTGTCTTCAATTAACGTTTATTTAATCCAGGAAACCAGAATCTCCAAAGTCGAGATCGAGACCTAACTTTGAAATTAAAGAAGGTACTCCAAAGAAGCAAAAGCAGTGCAATTGTAAACATTCAAAATGCTTAAAGCTGTAAGCAAAATCCTCTTTTACTTTCTCTCGGCACTTGTTCTTTTGTCATTGCAACATATTAGCTGTGATAAGAAGCTAATGATCAACATGTCTTGAGCAGATATTGTGAATGTTTTGCGTCAGGAATATACTGCGATGGTTGCAATTGTGTAAATTGTTATAACAATGTTGAAAATGAAGCTGCTAGAAGAGAAGCTGTTGAAGCTACTTTGGAACGAAATCCAAATGCATTTAGGCCGAAAATTGCAAGCAGCCCTCATGGAACACGTGATAGCAGGGTATGTTGACAGTTTAACTTTTCTAGTCATTAGCATTGTATGTTATGTTTCAGATTGTGGACAATAAGGTCAATTTAAGGTATTGTATTTATTAATTGGAACCATGTCAGGTATAATTGTGATCCACTGATGCAAAGCATTTGTCCTGTTATCTCGTACAACTTATCTTTAAGTTCACTGTGGAGTGTGGACTTAAAGGGATAGTTTCTGTATTATGATAGGTCACTTTTGCTCCTGTAATTGTTTTTTCCCATAGCATACGTTTCTGTTCCATTAGCTGCAGCATCCCATGATAATGATATTAGGCCTTTTACATAACTAAAGAACCATTATTTGGCTTTACTATTTTATTGAAACATTCAAATTTGTTTGATATTAAATATCCTTATTTGTTATGTTATTTGTTGTTATCCCCTACATGTCACTATTGATGTTATTTTCAGCAAGCCATAATTTATATAAACCTCTTAAAATGTTTTGTGTCAATGAAACAAATGCATTTCATTACTTGGGTTAGCACAAGAAGTTGGGCTTTTTGATGGTATAAAGCTATGGCATTACAGTAACCTATTGGTTAATACCTGGCAAATTCACTTATATGTGCTCTAAACTCTAAATCAGTGGAAAATAAAATTTTCTAACGTAGTAATTTGTCCTGTGTTGGAAAAGGCATTGCGTTTTTTTACCTTTCTATTGTTGACTATGTGAACTTCAAAATAAATGTAGGAGGAGGCCGGGGAAGTTTTGATATTGGGAAAGCACAACAAGGGGTGCCATTGTAAAAAATCTGGGTGCCTCAAGAAGTACTGTGAGTGCTTCCAAGCCAACATTCTTTGTTCTGAAAATTGTAAATGCATGGATTGCAAAAACTTTGAGGGAAGTGAAGAGAGACAGGCTTTGTACCATGGAGATCAAAATAACAACATGGTGTATATTCAGCAGGCGGCAAATGCTGCCATTACTGGAGCTATTGGTTCCTCTGGTTACTCATCACCGCCAATATCAAAAAAAAGAAAAGGTCAGGAGCTCTTCTTTGGGACAACTGTCAAGGATCCATCAGTTAGCAGGCTAGGACAACAGGTTAAACTTCTCAATTGTATGAGTTGTTCAGGGTATATTTTAACTTGGTAAATCAATTAAATTGGAGAAATGCAGAAAAAAATTAGTCCACTTGACACAGCATTTTACAGTTTCTAATATTTTTTCCAATAAAAGTTGATATTTTCCAATTAAATGTAAAAGGTGCATTTAAACTTGATTAGTCTTTATTAAATTGATATATGCTCCATTTTATTTGTTCCAATGTCTCATGCAATTCAAATCCATGAGGAGAGCCTATGTCAGAAGGCTAATCTATTATTGGATAGGAGGGCCTCATGGCCTAAGTATCACATTAAGCTTCCATATTTGCTGAATGCTGGAATGGGCCATTCTGGCTGCCCACTCAGAGTCAGACCATTTTGATGCAGGTTTAAGGTTTCACTTAAGGTAGCTTTTTCTTTGGTTGCTGCTTCTTAGGTCACTTTTTTCTGAGTCCAGGTTGTCCCCCCTCCATGTCGACTGGCTCTCAATGAAAGCATTACTTGTTACGACTCAAGCCCACAAGGAAAGTCCATTCCCAAAAGACTAGCCTTGTGGGTGAGAGCACGTCATGTCTAACGCACCAACTTCTGTATACAGTCAATGTGAGATGTAACAACTTCAACTTCTATTTTTATACATGAATGGACAGAGACAAATCAAGGCTGTGTCTTTGAGGCTGAAACTATTGTTTGATACCATGATGACTTAACATCTGGTTTTTAAAAAGTGCATCCATAAACTAAGTTGCTATTTCATATTAGCTTGCTGCACTTTAGAGTGAAAACTATTAAGGGGTTTTTTATTACTCAATTTACATATAGTAGTGTCATGACTTTTATATATATATATTTTATGTTTATTAGGCAAACCATGTCAGAGGTCCTGCACCCTCCTCCTCAACGTCTCCTGTCCCAGGTGCTCGTGTTGGACCTGCAACTTTAGGTCCTTCAAAATTAATGTACAGGTGGGTAGAACTGGTTAATTACATGAAATGAAGATTTATTTACTTAATTTAGTCATTAACTTGATTACTGTTGAAGGTCTCTTTTAGCAGACATAATACAACCACAGCACCTGAAGGAGCTTTGCTCAGTTCTGGTGCTAGTGTCTGGACAAACCGCTAAGACACTTACAGGTATACTGACATGTTAAATTGTCAAAACACCAATTGTGTTATTTGTTTTGAAAGCATCATCACTGTTTGTCTTATGTTCTTGCTGGTGTGAGTAAACTGGTATTATCCTAGAAAAGATTTTTGCTGTGTTTCCCACATTTTCCCTGCTTTTCCCCTTTCTCAAACTTGAGCCTAAAAAAATGGTTTGATAAATAATAAATTACAGAATTTCACCTGTTTCAATTGATAATTTACCTGCTAATAATAGTTTCCTTTATGAGAAATGAGTAAATCAGAAAAGAAAGTGTAATCAATTAAAATTTATTTATTTTGAAGTGGAATTAATTCTATGGTACCTCTAAATGTTTGGTAAACCTACCCATTTAGTAATGTTATTTGCCATTGGATAACTTTGGTGGGTTAGTTTGGAATTTTGGATAGAGTCCAATGATCAACATGCTTGGCTATCTTTTTAACCTTTTAGTGCATCTAGTTTTTTCCTGTTATTCTGTAGAAAGATCATTAGGAAGCAGTTCATGAAACACTAAGAAGTATTTGGCTTAAGGAAATGTTTTATTTTTCTGTTTCACTTGGTTGATTATTTTGAAAAAAGCTACCTTGTTTTCAGTTTTTATTTTCAAATATTAGTATGAGAAATGGTGAAAATGAGAAACAATTGAAAACAGTGTTGCATTTTTGTAATTATGAGTAAAAACACATAATTGAAACAAAAGCCATTTCCTTAATCTATACTCATGGTCCCTGAGTTTACATGTATACTTAGTAGTAAAGTTTTTAAGCTAAAAACTTTAGTTGTCTGTTCAATTGATGGTTACCATCTGCAAGTGATATCACCCCTGTCAATCTACAATATTGATTTATTTTCTCTCACCAATTATTGTTATCACTATGAGCAGACCAGAAGAATTCAATGGATAAGCATACGGAAGATCAGACAGTAACTTCCCTTGCTTCAACTCAGGAGCAATTACCTAGTCAAAAGGAAGCTGATGTTGAGAAAGCTATGACTGACAATTGTTCAAGTGCAAACCAAACAGATAAAATCAGCCCACTCAATTCTTGCTCAGATGGTGCTGATGTCCCAAAGGGGAGGCCAATGTCTCCTGGAACTTTAGCATTGATGTGTGATGAGCAAGATCCAATGTTCACGACTGCTGCCTCCCCTGTTGGACCAATGGCGCATGCTTGCAACACATCTTTGCAACTGCCAAATGGACAGGGAGTGACAGAGGTCTATGCAGAGCAAGAAAGGATTGTATTGACGAAATTTAGAGATTTTCTGAATAGGGTTATCACTATGGGAGAAATAAATGGCAAGTTAATACTTCCCTCTCCTCAAGTTATAATTTGTTTTCAAAAATTTCATAAACATGGCACTTTTGCAATTAGACCCTCTCAACTCTCAATTTAGGCAAGTAGCCCCCTTAACTTCGATAAAAACATCGCAATTGATCTTCTATTTCTTTTCCTTGAGTTGATTTCTCTTTGTTACCATCCTATTAGGTGGCTGAAATTGAATCTATATTATTTATGTATATAAATAGTCTGTGTTTGATCTCTGGAACTGCTATCAGTGCAGAGGCAGTGTAAAAATTCGTGAGGATGCAGAAATACAGCAAAGACAGGAAAAGAACACTGCCAAATTCTCCTCTGGCACATTCTCTTTCTGCCACCTGTTCTTTTCATTATGCTGCATGTCCCCAATGCGAATACTCTTCACGATTTCCTTAGTGCTTCCCTCCTGAGAGTTGAGACTCGAACCTCTTCTCATTTCCTCCTAGGTGTACCCTAGTTATGGGGTTCAATCACATCCTCTGCAAATGCTTGTGCTTAAAAACTGAATCTTGAAAATTATCCATTTCACATTAAAGTTAGGGGGTTGTTCTGTTTGTTTTTTTTTTGCAGATTAGAAGTTTACTGTGATAAAGGATGATTTAACCCTAAACTAAAGAAGACCTCGTATAGATTGAAAATGGCTGTCTCTGTAGTTGGAAAGTTTACACATGACAGATAGATGAGCCACCTGTTACTAGTTTATTAATGCGCTGTCAGAATGGCTTTATATGGCTTTGTCAATTGAAATAGCTTTGAAGTTTCTGATTTCTGTAGATAGAAAGTATTAAAATTTGTGTTCGATTACTGATTTGTGTCAAGTGAAAAATGTGTAGTTATACAGACTAACTAATGTACTGTATTTTATGTATTTGTGCATGACCTAATTTCTATTCCCAATTTCAGAAACAAAGTGTTCTTCATTAGCCAGAAGTGAATTAGAGAGTCAAAAGAACCCAAACATCAATTGTTCTGTTAATGTCAGTACCGAGATGGCGCATCAGCAGGGAGCCATCAATAATGGTGTTGCCAATGCTGCGGGAAACACTGTTACATCTACATCATTGGTCCCAGGTAGCATTGTTCCTGAAAATGGGGATACTAGGACTAACGTTGAAAAATAGATATGAAAGGAATCTAACTTAGATGAGCAGAGATACCATTGGAAAAATTACAAGAATGTTGTGTGAAGGTATGCAACTTCTCTGCAATGTAAACTTCCATTCTTCATTTTCTGGCTTCTCTTTGATGGGGGTGTCAAGCTTACATGCCCACTACTAGTCCAACTAGGATCAATTTTTTCGCATATCAATTTTCTTCTTCTACTTCGGTCATTCATATATATTTGAATTAATTGTTCTGCTTTGACATAACTTGTAAATTGCAGACTTGTAATTTCATAAAGGAAACAATTTAACGGAATTCCCCTTTCTAGAGTTTTTTTCTTAACATTTACTTTGGTCAATATTGCATTCTTAGTAAAAGAATTTTACAGTTTGACCTAGAGCGTATTATAAATTGTAGGTTTGTTACAATCTTGTTTTATACAATTTGTACATGCTCCTTTATTTACGTTGTAGTAACTCTCTCCAAAGATTCATAATTTTATTCTATAGTTTGTACTCGTTTTAGATTTTGACTGTGTTTAATATTTGAAAGCGGCGATTGTGTACTTGTCCTGACTCTTTTGTAGTGTTGGGGTTTCATTACAGGTCAAGGCCAATTTAGATTTATATATATTATATATAGGTGACCTTTTTTTCAATTTAACGTTGCTTACTAATCTCTTTCATGTTGGAAACCATGTATCTCTTCTACATTAACAACTTTAATGCGTGTAACATGAATGTAATGGTAATTTATTTCATAACAATTTGCATTAGAGTTGTTCTAAATACAGTGTTATCGTCCTTTCCATTCCCGTTTGTTCGTGATTTTTGTTCTAATATCGTGGCAAAAGGCAAAGTGGCGTTTTAAGGGTTTAACATTCAATAGCTTGCATTAAAAATTGCGATGGGTGTGCAATTATTGTTTTCTAATACGCAATAAACACTAAGTGGAGATTTTGTAAAACGAAATAACTGTATTCGCATATATAAAATTCTTGAACAGATCTTGCCATCGTAATCATAACTTCTGATTCCCCCCTAAGTTATTGATGATGGGATTGGTTTGCAAGGTCTAGTAGTAAAGTGATCGGATCTAGCATGATAGTTGTGTTTCAGTTGGAGGTTCTAATCTTAATTATGAGGTTCAGACATGAAATATAAAGTAACAATGGCTATAATTAATAGGTAAAGGTGTGGTATTCTTTAAGAATTGATTCCTAGTGACTTGTGAATTTGTGGTAATGTCAAAGTCCATGTTGACAAAAACATGATGGTTGAGTGGTGATGACGGTGAACAGTGTTGGTAGCAATGTTGAGATTTGATTGTTGAATTCTAACCGTTCTAATTATAATAAATTTTGAGTGAATAACTACATTTAGTGATAATACATGATTTTGAAATATAGTTCTAAAAAAGAGGAGAAAAAGAAGTAGATTTTGAGTTATAGTGACAAAATTGACTGTTTAAATTTTTTTGAGGAATCAAATTGACTAATTAAGTTTTTTTTATATATTAAATTAATTGATTATAAATTTTTTATAGACCAATTTAATTGATTAAGAAAGTTTTAATGACAAAATTGATAAATTCTAAAATTAAAGATTCTTCAAAGATCAAATTGACAAATTTTAAGTTATATTATTATTAAATGACATATATTACGTCAAGATAACATAATATTATGAAATATATCCTAAAATTCACTTACATTTTAATTTTAACTCAATTTCTTACTTATGTTAAATAATAATTTTTATTTAAAATCATAAAATTTAATTCTATGAAAAAATTGAGTTTTATAATATCTTGTAATTTTAATAAAATTTTATTAAGTATACGTTAAAAAAATAATAAATTAAATAATCATTTTATTATACGCTCTTAATTAAAAAAAAGAACGGGATATGATGTAGATGAAACGGCATCGTTGAAGGGGTATTCCTGAGGATCGGGGATTCTGGGAAGGAAATCAGCGTGGCGGCGAAGGTTACAAACTCAGTGGTATTCCATTGAAGTCCAATTCAGTTCAACTCAGCTCAATAACAATGGCATCATCGAAGGTTTTGTGTAGGTTATCGTCTCGGTTACAAGCTCTTACCCATAACAAGTTCACCAAACCTTCTTTCCCTCTCCACCTCAATCCTCAATCTGCCTCTGCGCGACGCGTTTCTTGCACTTCCCGGTGAGAATCTCAACACACCCATGTCATTCTCATGCTTGGTTTCACCCCTAAATTTAAAAGTTTGGCTTTTTACATTCTCGAAGACCTAAAACGACTTTTTCTGGAAATTTGTTTATTTTAATTATATTTTTGCAATTTCGTTGGTTAGGTTACCAGTGGAGTTGAGTAGCTTCGAATCAATGATGCCGTTGCATAGTGCGGTAGCTTCAGCTAGATTAGTATCAAGTTTGTCCATTGAGTCTCTGGGTTGGGGATTAGTTCCTCAAGGTGTGTTCTTTTATCATTTTTTTTTGTGAATTCAATAGTGTTCTTGTGGCATGACAATGACACGTGCCTAGATTGAATTTGAGGTAATGAATGGCCTTGCTTTCTGCTTGTGTTTTGCACACTGATTTTTTATTTTTATTTTTATATTTGTTTCTTCTATTGTGGATGGTGTTCTTATTCTGTTATATTGTGTTGTGTGAAAGCTCAGTTTTCCGTTGCTTTATGAATTTTAACCATAAGTAGGCTGATTAACTAGCCTGCTTCAATAAGTCTTTCAAGAAGACATGTATTCATATGATTGCAAATACTTCCTTGACGGTTTGTATGAACATACTATTAGGTACTTGTTTGTTAGAGATGGAGGTTTAATTATATGTAGAGCTTTGTTGTATGGAAGATTTTTATAAGTTGTATCACATGATCAGCACTTGGATGTTGGAATTTTTTGTTATTTTGTTTTTTTATAGAATTTGCTTAGATGTGAAAAACATGAAGCATGTTTTTCAGGAAAATGATGTGCTGAAGTTTGACACCAAGGGATAGGAGGGAGTATTTCCAAATTATATAGTCAATTGGTCATATCATTTTACCCATTGCTTTTAAATTTTGGAAGGTTTGGATCTAATGCTAAATTTAGTAGAATAAAAAAGTATTGTTAGTCATATGATAGAAACAGCTCTATGATAGTTGTGTTAGTCATTACAAATGCCTAAACAAATCATGTTGGTATTATTTTAATGAAGTTTTGCTCGAGTGAATTCCAAGCTATGAGTGTTAACTGTTAAGTAGAGATACCCGATGCACAAAAAGACAAATATACATTTTTTAGTTATTGCAGGAAATTATCTTCTGTAACTCAACAAATTTAAATATCATCGGGTCCTTTTACAGTGGTAGCAGTAGATAAGTAGCCCACATGAGTAAATAGCTAGCTTTGATCTAAGTATTGCTATATGCTGAAGATTTATCAGGAACTGTTTTTTTCAAAACCACATTGTTGATAAGATAATTGCAGACATCACATTTTTCCATCTAAATTGAGCCGCCAAATTTAATCGCTGAACGGAAAGAACTAATGGCAATGCTTCAATTTTTCTATTCTGCAGGTATTTCCATGCCTTTATGACAGCATTTGTCTGCAATTAGTTGTTGCAAGGTAGCATTTCCATTTGATGGCAGGCTCATGTTGGTGTTTTCATTTGTTGTAATCTTGAGCCCATTGACATAGGGTCCTTCATCTGATATTTGAGGAACATGCAATGCAATTGATGTTACTTATTGGTTGGTTCATTTCATCTTCATTTATTTCTGGAATATCTTTTTTAGTTTATCCAGTCTCTGGGTGAGTTTTTTGTTAACAACTAATGCATTAAAGTGAATTATAATTTATATCTGAGGATTTCATCCATTTACTTGATCACTATTGTTCTATGGTGTTTATAAATCGTTCTCAAACCAGATATGATATTTTAGTGTATGAGCCTTTGAGGAAGTCGTGGTTACATACTTTACTAGGTTCTGCATCCTTGGTTGACAGTTGACGCTGGAGAAATGGGAAGAAAACAGACGGTTGCTTTAGACATGCTAAATTTTTACCTGCTGTTGACACCTACCCTTTTATTTCTATATACTTTAATCTTGTTACAATTCCACTTTGCGTTCGTTTACACCTAATATTAGTTGAATGATTTTTCAAAATTTATTTGGTTTTCATCCCAATTCCATTTTGCTGTGACTTTTTTGACTGGAAGTGCGTGTTTGGATGAGCGTTTGCAAATTTGAGTCTAAACAAATTTAATTTTGTAGAATTGATTTTTTTTAGAAGTGAATTTAAAGTGATATAACTTATGTTTGAAAACTTTTTGCTTAAATATAAGTTTGTTAACAAAATTCAGTATAAATATTTTAACTCAATGTAAAAATTACAAATTATTATGTGAACTTAAACGCAATTTTAGAGGCAACATTAATTGTATTATTAAACTGCTGAACAAGATATAAATTTTAAATCACGATTACGTCTCCAGTTTGAAGACTTTTAATGCACATTCCAAATAAGCACGAAGTGTTTCTGTAGAGTGACTTTTAACCCATGAAGCTAGTTGATCTTAGCTTCAAAGTGAAGTTTAGAATTTTTCCTCCTGAAGAGGAATTCCCTCCAACTATGGTCATGTGCACAAAATTTCTTTGTGCTTTGAAATTAAACTCTTGAGTTTACCAATGTGCATGTTAACCCCCTGTGCGTCCTTAAAGAGTGTTTTAAAGCAGTGACATTTTTATTTTGGACATTATGCATAGTTGGAGGAACATCTGAACATTATGCTTCAAAATTTTAGTAGCTCATACGATTAAAAATAGGGTGAGTCTAGAGAGAGCTCAAGTTGATCATACGTTGATGAAATTGAGTTTTTATTTTATTTTTCTTGTTGAACACCTTTATTAAGGTGAATCCCAATGTATATTTTATATAACGAAATTAAAAATCAAACTTCACAATACGTAAGTTTCAAAGATAAAATGGGGAATTGAGAACAAAATAAGGGGGAAATCGTTTTGATGAACTGAAATTAGTTTTCTGCGTTTGCTTTAGGTTCTTGTCACGTATGCATACTTAGCTAGTTTAGACACCAGTTTTTGCCATTATATATGGGGATAATAGCATTAGCAAGGACAAGAATCTAAATTGAATGAAATCATAGGAAATGAAAAATATATATGGAGAGAGAGAGAGAGAGAGAGAGATTTAAATAACATAAAAGTAATGATCAGATTTTAAATATTAAAAAGGTACCTTATTAATATGTTTGGCTTGGCTCTAAAAAATGTTGGAATGTGTTATTATGGGAATTGATTTTATTTATGATTTTTTGTTTGTCTGAAAGATATATAAAATAAGAAATAATTTGAAAAGATTTTTTTAAGTGTAAAATTTTATTTAATTTTTATAGGTTAAATTTAAATTCATATTTTAATTGTTATTTGTATAGTATTTAATCTGTCTTAAGTAATAAAAATTAATTACTAATATAAAAAAATTCAATATGTTCTTAATCCGGGTATGGCAATGCATATTAATAAATACAATTTAATTTGATTCAGATAAATTATTTCTATTTTTGAATTATGTCAAACAAAACCAAACTGATTTTATTTTACATAAACTATTCCTTACTTGAGCAAATTTATATACATGCACAATTTTAAAAGTTTCAAAATTTACATCAATTCTTATTTTATATTTTTTTCAAATGAAAAATTTTATTTTAGAATGAAATGAAATAATAGATTATAAATTTTCCCAACAAATAATTTGATTCGCCTAATGTGGGAGGGTGGTGATGTGTTACGAAAGAACAGTGAAAAAATTGACAGTTTCGAGTTATCAGATTACAAGCATATCTAGGAGTGAAGAGATAGATAGCGGCCACACATGGCCCCCTTTATCCTCAAACTCAACACTCTGCAACTCCAACTCCAACAATCTCTCACTTTCTCCCATTCTCTCAAACCAAACCTTTGTCATCATCTCGCACCACATCTTTATGAACCCAACTTTCTCCACTCATCTCACGCCATCACTTTCATTCAAAGAAAACAAACAACAACTCAGTACTCTTCACTCAACAACTCTATACGTGAAACAGTGACGAGGTTCTCTAGCAAGACCAACAAAACCCCTTTTGCTTTTTTAAGAGATACAAGGGGTTCTTTGGAATCGAAGGTTAGCGAGAGAGTGAATAAGAAAAAGAAAAAGGATAAGGATAGCCCAGACGTGAAGTTGAAGGTTGGTTTGGATATGTGTTCTAAAAGAGGGGATGTGATGGGAGCATTGTCCTTGTATGATTCAGCATGCTCAGAGGGTCTCAAACTTGGTCAGCACCATTACACTGTGCTTTTGTATCTTTGTTCTTCTGCAGCTGTTGGTGTTGTTAGACCTGCTAAAAGTGGAACTGGTGCTAGAACTTTGAATGCACTTGTCTCATCCAATGAGGTTGTCAATCATCATGAGGACAATGTTGGCGATACAATGTTGGACAATCCAGTTTCAGATGAAACTGCCACGTGTGATGAAACATTTGATAATTCAGAGTTAAATTCTGTTTTGAATTCTGCTGAGAAATCTAACAAGGGAGAAGAGAACCCCTTTAGCAACCAAGAAGATTGTGGAATCTTGGTGAGCGAGCATGTCAAGAAATATGCACTGCAGAGAGGATTTGAAGTGTATGAGAATATGTGTAAGGATAAGGTTCAAATGAATGAAGCAGCGTTGACTTCTGTGGCTAGAATGGCCATGTCAATGGGTGATGGTGACATGGCTTTTGAGACGGTAAAGCAAATGAAGAACTTGGGGATAAGTCCTAGGTTACGGTCTTATGCTCCTGCTTTGTCTACCTTTTGCAACAATGGAGAAATAGATAAAGCATTTGCTGTTGAAAAGCACATGCTAGAGCATGGCGTCTACCCTGAAGAGCCTGAGTTGGAGGCACTCTTAAGGGTAAGCATAAGAGCTGGCAATAGTGATAAGGTTTACTATGTGTTGCATAAACTAAGAAGTAGTGTAAGGAGAGTCTCACCAACTACTGCATCTTTGATTACTGATTGGTTTAAGAGCAAACAGGCTGCAAGAGTTGGGAAAAGAAAATGGGATAAAAGACTAATAATGGAAGCAATAGAAAATAATGGTGGAGGGTGGCATGGACAGGGTTGGTTGGGTAAGGGAAAATGGGAAGTCGTTCATACAACCATTGGAAATGATGGAATGTGTAAGTGCTGTGGGGTGCACTTGACCACTATTGATCTTGATCCTATTGAAACTGAAAATTTTGCCAAGTCAGTTGAATCCCTTGCCTTAATGAAAGAAAAAGGGTCAAACTTCCAGAATTTTCAAGTAAGGAGCTTGACTAATGCACATTAATTCTACTCTCATTATAGATTGACGAAGTTGGAACAAATGAAATTGTGTATTGCAGAAATGGCTTGACTACTATGGACCTTTCGAAGCAGTGGTAGATGCTGCAAATGTAGGTCTTTTTGGCCAAAGGATATTCAAGCCACACAAGGCAAGTTTCTGAATGGTAAAATACTCTTCCTTTTGTTTTCCTGATTGTTCTTATTATGGTTATTGATTATTTTCTTCTGAAGTGAAACCTTTAGATCAATGCTGTTGTCAATGAATTTCGCAAAAAGCTTCCTTCAAACAAGTTTCCACTTATTATTTTGCATAATAAGCGTATCAAGGGAGAGAAAATGGATGAACCAATCAATAGGGCATTAATTGAGAAATGGACTAATGCCAATGCACTCTATGCAACACCTTATGGATCAAACGATGATTGGTAAGAACAAAATAGTATAGTATATTTTTAATAGCTTTTTAGTTATTTATTTCACTGATTATCCATATCATGCCTCGTTTGCTAACCTGTGCTTCAGGTACTGGTTGTATGCAGCTATAAAATTTAAATGTTTAATTGTTACCAATGATGAGATGAGGGATCATCTATTCCAACTTCTGGGAAATGACTTTTTCCCCAAGTGGAAAGAAAGGCATCAGGTGAGCAAAGCTCTTTGGAAAGAAAATTTTTCCATCAGGTCTTTGTTCTTGATTGTCATACTGGTTTTATATATTTGAAAAAATAAGGTTTATTTCTAATTCTTTGGTTAAATCATACATAATGATTGGCTTTGTTTTCCTCTCCTTGATTAATTTACAATTTAATGCCATCTTAACACCAGAATTCCTGTCTTTCAAATTTAAGGTACACTTCAGTTTCTCTGATATCGGTAGTCCAGTGTTTCACATGCCCCCTCCTTGTTCTGTTGTAATTCAGGTCAGCTCTTACACTGTTTCAAAAATGGTGGAACATGAACAAAAATTAAATTATATTTGACTATAAATCTAAAATTAAAAGAATAAAAATGTAAAGAAAAGAAAGAAAGAAGAAATTATAACATGGCAATTGTGGTAGCAGGAATCAGAGGAAGGCCATTGGCATATTCCAATTGAAACAGAACATAGTTATGAATCAGAAAGAAGGTGGTTGTGCATTACCCGTGCTAAATTAGACATGGTTTGCAAAGATTCTTCTATATCTAAAGGTTAGGCTGGGACACTCACTGGGAATTGTATCTGGTTCACATTTACATGGTTGATTTTACAACTATTTATTATCTTCATTATTGTTGTTTCAATGAATTTACTGACATCAACTTAATGATATAGATCGTACTGACATTTCTGTAATTGAACAATAAATCTCAAGGATAAAACTGTAAGCACTAGCAACAAATTCATTGTCAAAGCATGTGGTATATAATCGAAATTCATAGCTTTCCAGAAGTATAAACTCTAACCCATTGATGCTTCTTATATTAACACAGCTAAGTTGTGATTTGTGACTTTAAAATCAAGCATTGAAAGTTCAGGATTTAAAATATAAGAACTTCTTACTCACTAAATTAATTTCCACTCCCTTTTTAGAGAAAGATTTTTTTGAGGTGAAGAGAAAATACGAATTTGGTTTAATTGATTATTCCTTTATGCAATGGTTCATGTAACTTTGATGGTCTTATATTTGCTTAGGTCTCATATATTTATGATCCTTTCTTTTAACATGCACTGTCATGTCTCTACTCACTGCCTTTTACCTATATGCCGAAATTCTCTACCACAGTCCATTTAATTGGACTTGGGGAGGCTTTTGAATTTTTCTGACAAAAATAGAAAGAAAAATTGAAAAATCATCTCATTTCCTCAAAAAAGAAAAGAAAATGAATCAGAACGCCACGAACCTCTCAGGGAGTACCTGCTCTAAGTGTAGTTCAAGCACCATGAAAATGACCCAACATATTCAGTCTTCATCATTTCCTCTCAATATATATTCCCTGGTTAACCTTTCCACCTAACTAATTATTCACAATTTTCGAGACCCTTGAGTAATGGTAACATGAAAGTGTCATTTAGCTTGATTTACATCTGTGTACATGAACTTGGTTTAACAGCTGGATGCCTACTTTTGTATTCTGCACTTGGGAAGAATTACTTCGATTTATGCCATAATTTTTTTTATTTCCAATTATAAAATTATTCCTTATAGAAAATTAACTCAAAGTATCAATTTGATGAATTAACTTGATGTTATACTAATCCCCTCCTCCCTTTCCCTTCCTTTCATTAGACTCTGAACCCTTGCAAAAAGAATGTACAAGATCATCAGCAACTAGAGATGCGTCTGCAAAGGAGTCACAACATCAGAATCTTGTCAACCACAAAGTAAAAATGGAATCACCTCAAGAATTGCATAAAAATATTAGGGATGTTTTTTTAGCATCAATATCTTCAGATAATAAAGACTCAATATTGTCTGACATTGAGGCTGCAGAGTTGATTGGTGGTTGTACCATTGATTTTCAGATATAAAGTTCCTTTTGTCGTGTTGATTAATGATTTATCTTGAGCTATACACTGGAAAATTATCACAGTGGTCTGTGCGAAGCTCCAATTTAGTTTTATTTTGCAGGGAGAAAATACAAGGTTAAGTTGTAGTATTACAATTCTAATCTAAAATAAAGTTTTCCATTCAAAGCTTTCTAATTGCTTATCACACATGGGACAAGATATTATTCGGTTATTCAACTTTTTGTTGACAAAAAATTCACAAAAAAAGTGTTACTAAAACTTTTAACAGTGTCTCTGCACTCCCTTATCTGACATCAATGGAGGGACAAAAATAAGTTGTGTTAGACATGAAAAGCAAGTCTTTAACCGCCATCAAATAGCTTGAAATTTCAATTAAACGGTTCTCTCTCATGATCATGTACCGTATTAACAACTTATAATTTAATCAAATTTGAACAAAAAGCATCTGGATTTGCCATACCTTGCTGAAGATACAAGTAAGTGGTCACTGTGTCAACAAGTTTTGTACATCTTTACAACTTCTTGGTGTCTGTGTGATGTTGATGTTCGATGCTTGGTCCTCTATCAAACCACCTATTACACTCTCCTACCTGGTGCTTCATATCGTTTTTATTAGGTTCTAGTCATATTTAGCGAGAACAATTATGATTAGCAATTATGTTTGTTTCTTCCCCATCTTCACCCAAATCTCCTGTTCATATGCTCATCTTCATTGCCATATACTATTTTTACAATAATAAATCACCCTATTAAGGTGCTTATAGATAGGGCCAATCCAAACATAAAGGGTAGTCCAGTGAAGACAGAATCTTGCACTTCGCATGTTGCAAATTTGAACCCCTCTGTTAATCGTCTTCTTAGAGTGAGGTAAACACTTAACACACGTGAAACATTGCATGTGCATGTGCTGTTTAAGCCAAATTCTATAAACTCTCCAACAAGTCATGTGCCTTTCAAATTATAAAGATTAATAGCAACGACATATATGTGATTTGTTTTTATCAGAAAACTCAGACGACAATCTCATAGTGAGTAGTGAATGCTGAGTAATTATAAGCTACTGTTAATTGCATGATTGACAATTTTAAAAGAAATGAAGTGGTAGTAGGGTCTGTCATTGCATTATACTGAGTCATTACTTTGCATTTTTAATTAATTTGATGCGCATAATGGTAAAAAACAGAATATCACGGGACCGAAACTGTTTATTTGTCATCATCCTCTATGATGTGTGCTAGCTGGTCATGGGCAGCAGAATCTGTTCATTAGGAACCTTGTTTTCTTGCACCACATCACAACCCACCAAAGGTCACATAAACCACTTTTTCACCCTTATATGCATGTGTCTGACATAAATATCAAATTGAATAAAATGATATTTTTAATAATTTTTTTATGAAATCAATCTAACTTTAATTCTCATAAATAGATTAAGTTTATAAATTTTCTCATAATTTTAAAATTAACTAATACTTTATTGTTTTACCTTATTTTATTGTATAATATTTTATTAAAAATATATGTAAATAGCTATTATATTATGTCTACAAATATCTAAAATCATGATTATTCCGATAATATTTTATTAATCAATAATTGAATTCATAACTTTATTTTTAATAAAATGTATTTAAGATATTATTTTATTAAATTTGACACTGAATATCATTTGATTTTATCCCTGTAGACATGTATTTTGTGCATATATATTTGATAAGACAATCTTGGACAGAACAAGAGTCTCGTCCATAAAAGTAAGTATTAGAGCTGGCCTATATGTATTTTCAAGGATTCTTATTTTCGTAAGGTAACCAAACAGCTATTTCAACCTCAGAATCAGTAACAATATGATGATGGAGTTGAGTTTCAAGTCTTCTTGCCATGAAAACCCAAAAGCTGATGCTGAGGTAGAAGAAAGCATGCGCTTTGACAAGTCTCTTCAGGTTCACATTCATACTCAGCTACGCTATATATATTAGTTTTTTTTTCTGAAAAGTTGCATCTTTTGTTGATGCCCATTGGCCATATATCATATATGGTTATGATGGTGGTTGCAGGAGCTGAGAGAACTAAGGTCTCAGTTACACCAAGCTGCAGATTACTGTGAAACTACATTCTCCAAAACCAAAGAGAAGAGTGAGTGAGTCAGCTAAACTCACCATGCTCTTTTTGTCAACTGTGGTAGTTTTATTTTTTAATCAACTAAAGAGTTAATGTCATGTATGTAATATTGTATATAAACATTTGTATTTCTTATATAAAAAAAAAAAGTTTAGAATATACACTCAAAAAGTAAAAAGAATAATTAAAAGTCATCTTTAAAAATTATTCAAAAAACTTTTTTGTTGTGAAGATTTTTTTTAAATTTTTTTTCTGTATTTGTATTTGGCCAAGCAAGCTTCTGTTTTTGTCAGTTTTAGGATTCATTATCTAAAGAGTTATATTATATATACAAAATGTTTATACAATACTATTTTTTTTCTATTTTATTAGTGAATTTAATTAGAATATATTTTTCTATGTTATTATTTAATCATAGATTATCATAAAAAATATTATTTTTATAATAATTATTCTAAAAATCATACTAAAGATAATTTTTAATTAATTATGAATATAATTTTTATATTAATAATACATTAAAATTGTACTCTATATTAATTATCCTATCTCTCTTTATTGTAAAAAAATTATAGAAAGATTTTTTGTTTTTGGGTCAGGACAAATGGAAAGATCTTAGTCGTTAATTTGCCAAACTCTTCTTTCTTTTTATTTTTTTTTCTCCCTTTTTCAGTGGTAAAATATTTGCTAACATGCAATATCTTTTTCTTTTTGGGTCAACAGACATGACAATATCTATGTTGTTGCCCTGAGCTGCAGGGCCAAATCGGTGCATATTGGGCCTTAAATTTAGCTTTCATTTTTGTTATTAATGTCTCCATTTTTGTCAACTTATTGGTTTTTTAATTCTAAGTAGACTTCATAGACACGAACAAGTTTTAATGAACCAAAGTAGACCAAAGGAAACGAAGATATATTGAAGTTACAAATTTGGTTTAAAAAGTAAAGTATAGAAGAGAAAATTTTAATTAAGATGTTAACTCAAGAAAAAAATTTGCTTCTGCGTGGTTTAATGTTTATCATTTGATTTAATATTTCATCATTTGAGTTACGTCGAATATTGCCGCTTCTATATTTTAAAACTTAATAGAGGGATGAGATAGTATATAGTACTAGTATGACATTATAACTTTAAGTTACCAGTTAAAAAGTTGAGTTTACCCTCCAAACCTTGTATATAAGCCAAACTTTTATGTATTAAGTTATGCGTGTATGCGTTGCATCATTTGACTAAATTGATATATTATGTATAGCTACATTCTTTAAATGGTGTGGTAACAATTCATTGAATGACCTAATAAAATTCTTAAGTGGTGTTATTTGATATTTGTCTTTTATACTATTAAGGTAAAATTACATTGGTGTCTCTTGAAAGTTTTGTCTAACTACACTCAATACTCCTTGTTTTTAAAAACAACACTTACTTCAGTTTTGGGGTGGGGGGGGGGTGTAATTTAAATCACATTCCCGAAAAGGTGTAATTTTAAAATATAAAAAGTGTTGAAAGTAATTAAATTAAACCTCAAGGAAAAACAGTGTAATTTATCATGTTAACATTCTTTTTAATAAAGTGTACGAAAAATTAAAGCAATTGATTACATTATTTGATTTGCCTAATCTAAGTAATTAATAAGTTACAACTTAGGCAAACTTAATCCAAGAAAATAGAGTCATTTATTCAATGAATCAAACATAAAATCAAGCCAAACCTTAATTGGGTTTGGCATGAATCATCAACTCAACATACTTTCACCCTTACTAACCAAACCATTGTTGCTTGGCCTTTTTATGCTTAACTCAAAGATTGAATAAGTAACTTTCAGTAAGGAAAAGTCTTTGGTTTAATTTGCTTATTTTATTTTCTGGTCCTTTGCCTCAAAAAGCAATGTATATATATTTAATAGCTTCAGTAAAAAGGTCTTTCAATCAATTGTGGTTGGTGGGGATCTTTTAGTTGCTGTTTTAAGAGGTTACGCATTAAATTAATGCTTTGATAGTTTCTTGTTAGAATTCCTAAATCTTTTTGGGGTCAACTTTCTAATTTGTATTGAAGAGAGTTTATTTGGTTGATGGATATGTTGACCCGTGCCAGATTGGCATCTGAAAATCTTGCAGTGTGGTGGAGAACACAAAAGAGTACATATGCAGGAGCATGGTCACTGTTGTTGATCATCTTGGAAACGTCTCAGCCAATCTTGAAGGCCTTATTTCTCAGACAAACGCATTTTCTGAAGCTGAGTTACGAATCCATTGCTTACAACAAGTTAGTATTGCTTATTTGTACAAATTAACCCCAAATGCAGATTATATGATGCTTTATGAAACTCATAATCAGCCTAATAAATGCTTGATCGAAATATACAGCTTTTATTCAATGGTATTTCTTATTTTTAAAGTGTGTTGAATGACAAATAATAATATTTTTATATTAAAAATTATAAAATATTATAAGATTTAATACATTGTTAATAGTCAATATTACATTTTTTAATAACAAAATTTACTTTTTATTTTTTATTATGTGTTATTGGACACATTTTTTTTAAATATTTAAACAAGACTTTATATAATAAAAATTTTATAAGTAAATAAATTAATAATATTAAAAATTATAATATTTAATAAAAATATTCTTAATTATTTTATGGTGTATCTTAAAATTCTCGTTAAATATATCATCTGACACATCAAATATAGTTCTTTGTTTTTTCATTTCAACCAAAACGATGTCTAACCAAAAGTTTAATGTTTATTGGCAGAGACTTGTTTTGTGTGAACAATATGCTCGTACAGTTGCCCTAGAAAAAATGCAATTGAGTGAGAATTTGCATAGATTCCATTCGCGTTATTTGTCACCAAGTAATTAAAATATTATCGCCCCTTTTTTTTTCATATAAAATTTGCCAATTAATTACTAATTTTCCATTTATCTAATTTCTTTTGTTTTCGATTGGTTTCCATGATCAGCACCTCCCCTTGAGAGATCAAGCAGTAAAAAAGTAATAAGGTACCTCTCCATATACCCAATAATCTAATAATGGGACCTTAGTGTTACTAACACATGGGCGCGCCCACAGTATCAATTACAACATTTTCAGTTTGCCATAATTTAAATATAAAATTTAATGGAATATTTTTATGTTATTATTTAATTATAGAATAACACATTAGTTAAAATTATTATGTAATAATTAAGTTAAATTTATATTAAAACTATAATTAAAAAATACACACATATATAAGTATAAGACAATATTTTTTACGTTAGTATAAATCTAAAATCTTTTATACTTATTTAAACTTTTTATTTAATTTATATTTAATAAATTATAATTTATTTTTATTGACAGATATGTAAATTAAATAAAAAATTTAAATTAAATATAAATTTTTTTAAACTTATACTAATGGAGAAAATATTTTCTGTATACAAAGACAAATTCGCTTTAATGAACTTACACGTTATGCAAATTGGCATATACAACTTACTCTGTTGGTGGCAAAAGTGGATCTTATGCTCAATTTTCACATAACAATGTTATATATAAATTTTATATTTATCTTTTTCTTAATAAAAAAAATAAGTTAAATTCTATAAATATCATGTCATATATAAAGATATTTTCTTGATTAGTACATTTGAATTATCTTATCGCTTCTAAATATAAATCACATAACAATGGAAGTGTAGGAAAAAAAATTTGTGTGAAATGATAACTTCCAAGAAAAAGGGTCCTCAGGAACTGGATACTTTGTGCAACAGTCATATGTTAGATCTGCAAACAATCATGAGTTTTTACATAACAAATTAAGACTTATTTAGATAATAATCAAAATTATTTTTGACATGGTGATGCTTATTTAAATGTAAAACTTATGATTGAAATTAATCTGAGCATACATCTCAATCACATTTAATTATTCAAAATTAATTATATTAAAATCTAAAACAAACGAATATTAAATACGCTTGACCACACATTTTCTAATTGTCAGAAGTCAGAACCAAGATAAAGCATGTTTAATAATATGGCAATCTCATCCATGAAAGTGAAAGATATTTCCGATTTAGTTTAGTTTTTATGATTTTCTAAATCTTATGCAGAGATAGTGAAAGTCGAGCTCCATTAAAGATAGAAGATAACCACGTATCGGAGACACGAGAGGATTTGCCGCTTTTTATGTGCACCCATATGCTTCCAGTTAAAAATTTGAAGCCAACCACCACAGCTACACTTAATGGGCATAACAATTTGGGCATGGGTAGGTAACATATTATTATTTTCTTTGTAATACTAAACTAAAAATGTTGTTTTGTTCTTCTGCATAATTTTCTTTTGGGTTGTGATAGTGGCACCAGTTCGGGAGGATTCGTCATTCTTAACAAAAGTTCCAAATCCTACTTTCCATTTCCAAGTGAGTGTGTCCTCCACTCTCTACCTGTTTTATATTCGCGATGCATTAATGATAAATATGCATAATAAAGTGGATCATGGATTTCTGATTGGTGAATATACATGTTTGTGTGTAGAGTACCCAGAAGGTTGGACGCCACAGAAGATCCTCGTTTAGTAGTGACATCTTATGGCTCATACGGCGTACAAAACGAACCCAATGAAAAATTAGAGAATTGGACCTATTCCTAGTAATCGTGGTTCATCATGTTAATGTTACAAATATTCCCTCATCTTTATATTTGGCAGTTTAATGTTAATTCTATGAATATTTAAAGAAATTATTTCTATTTGAGGCACTTTGAAAGGTGTTTTTTTTTTTTCGAGTAATTTGGGTTGGAAAGATCTTCATGATATAACGATTTATTAAGATATAGCACATCTGACACTATAAATGCTCATTTGACTTCAACACTTCGAAATGAAAAGCGTTCAGGCACCAAATGCCTATAAACTGGGTCCCAAGTGCAAACCAAAATGGAAATGAGCAGAAAATCATATGGATGGAGATTTAAGCAATGATCTTGGACCAGAAGGACCATATATCACTTCTCCACTTCTTTGAACTGAAAAATAAAGAATCTGCAAGCAGTACATTAATGACACTACCGAAGTGTTTGACTCGTAATTTACAAAACCAGGTAAATCCTATGTAGATAAAATACCATATACATATTATATACTGTTTCCCTTTCCATGAAAGCTAAAAATAAAGAACTCGTCCAAAAACAAAAGGGAATAAAGAGTAGACACAACTCTAGCTTTTTTTAATTTAATAAGCATGCCATGATTCGCTTTTAAATTTGTATGGATTTTACTTCAACACTGCTAGTTATAATTTCTGCATTAGGTTTAAGTTTACAGATTACTATGACATGGGAGCCTGCACCACTACTTACATTACATCTGCACTGTGACTATTTTTTCTCTGTGCAATCATTTTCTCCTTCCTCCTTCCGTCACTGTTATGGACATCATTTCCCACTATGCGACATCTAAAAACTATTACTATATCATAATCCTGCCCTTTAATTTTATTCCTTTATATACATATGCTGCCCCGGAAATCAACTTACTATCATGACTCAGTCAAAGGAAAAATAATATCAAAATTCAGTAGTTATATGTAAATTCTTGTTGCATATCCATACACTTAAAGAAAAATGACAACCTCAAAACAAACAAATTTAAAATCGAAACCAAGGGTTCTTAAGATCACGTGATGTCTCGATCTATATTTCATACACAAAAAGATTTTAGGGTTTGAACCCGACGTGAATCGAACACGCAACCTTCTGATCTGGAGTTAGACGCGCTACCATTGCGCCACGGATCCACTTGTTCTACATAATGTTTAGTATCAATTAAAACGAGTTACCAGATACAAAATATCTTTATACTTTGTTCTGAGTCACTATTATTAGAGTTTTGTGACATATACTTGCCCCCATATCATAATTTTGCAGTCCAAATTCTGGCATGTCATAGTATCGAAAAGTAGTATTCATGTACACCTTCAGCATGTTAAGGAGCCAGAAAAGCATTTTTAAAATATTTAAAGTAAAAAGTATGTAAGGTTATTTAAATTTGCATATTGCAAGATGTTCCTGTTAAGGTAATACGGGTCTTCAAGTCTTTGCTTTGACTCGCTAACGTTTTTCTAACCATTGCTGATGTGGGAGGGTACTTGCAAAAGGTACTCCAATACTGAAGTCAGGATTTGGTTCTAACTTTTACCTTCCTTATATAGACACAGACATTGTAATGGGCCAATGGACTTATCGAGCCCGTCTTCATTTTAGCCCTTTATTTAAAGTAAATAATATCTTGATTATTACCTTTAATTGAATTAATTACCTTTTAATCCTGACGAGTTATCTGACCTATTATGCTGAATAGGTACTCGGTTTCCTTTTTCTATAAGTAGGATCGAGTTAATCTTTCTCCAGTACACAAGGAAATATTCAGATACAGTGTTTCGGGACATTGTTACTTGCAAATGAATGTTATGTTCAATATACTTTAATATACACGATAATAGTAATATTACATAGTAGTCTATTCCATCCCAAGATATAATATATTCTTATGTACATTTTTCTATCTCGAATAGTTGTATTTTTTCTTTATTTTATGATATTCATCTTTAGTCGCAATATCAAATCAATTTAATATTTTTTAATCAATTATTCAATGAGTTGTTTTACCCTTTTAAATTTTTTAATAAATATTAGATGTAGTGAGATATTCTTAAATAACCATTAAAATAATTATATATCCATCAAAGTTAAATTTTGAATATTTATATTTTTACCATAAAAAAATAATCTTCTATTATTTAAACAAATATTCACCCAAATAATTGGCATAAAAGGGATTTATAACTTTAGGCTATCCTTTTTACGCTGTCAAGGGTTTTAATCAAATCATTATTATTTTGAAAAGAAATTCACCTAATAATTATTACTCCAAATTTTAGGATTAATCTAACAGGAAATGTGATAAAAACAATAAAATCTCTTACGTATCTTTATTAATTAGTTCTTATGTGCCATTTGTAAAATGCTGAACATAGAAGTGCCTTTATAGTTCTAACTACTTCAATGCCGAAAAAATTGATAATTCAATTAGTTGAGATATGAGGTAGTGAACAATAAAAGAAATGGACTTGTCTTTCCTCACTGAACCGAAGCACGAAATGCCCCATCAAGGCTTGTATTAATCAATAACAGTTCGACCCCTGAAAGAACAAATCCTATTGATAAATATGCATTTGCAAACTCCATTTTCCAATAAGTAATTGTTATTTTAAGTTTTTTTTTTTAAAATTAAACAAACAAGCATTGAGGATATCTAAAAGGTTTTTATCTTTACTCCATTGATGCTGACTCGACCCTTGTGTCATGTTACGAGACCAATCATATACCTATATAAGTGATCAATTGAATCATAATTAAGTGAGCTAATGTGATGACAAAGTCCAATTTCCACACCCCACAATAAAAAGTAACACGACCTTTTATGGTAATTTATTGAGAAAGTATTTCATAAGCGTAAAATGCTATTTAATATTTTTAATTATTATTAAAATTTATAAATATAAAAGAAAAATATTATTTAATAAATTTTAACTTAAAAATATGTTAAAAATTATGCTACTAACACTAATAATTTTGAGTTTCACCAACTCTAGTGTAGTGGCAGTTTTCCATTTTCCAACCACATTTCACTCTACTGCTTTATGAACGGTTTCGCTTCCTTGCACTCTGCAACATGTGTACGACAAAGAACATTATCTCTCATTTATTACATTCCGTAATCTTTAATCAATCCCAATAAACAAAGGAAGTAAGGAACTGTACTCCAAGTTCAGCTCACTCCTCTATCTGTTTTGGAAAGTGAAAACTCAGCTGGTGAAAACACTTTGATAATGTTAATGTATTCATCATCGTACACGTGTGTTGTGTTAGTAACTCCCATGATTCTTTAGGACCTGATTCCCGTGGATGAATCTTCTAACATCTTCCTTACTCCTCACCAGCATAGCAACATCTTTGATGTTTTCATGAGTTCCTTTCTGAGCTGGTGTTAGGATTGGTGCTAAGAATGAACAGCTAAAAAAGTGTAGGTAGGTATGCATGAAACCATGATTTTCTGTTGTGTGCTTTGGAACTTAAATGTTGCATTCTCTTTTCCATGTGGGATTTTTTCTTAAAGAAGAAACAATGGATGGGGAGAGTGTGGTTTATCATCGCCCAGATGAACCAAAAGGAATATTCTTTTGATGTCTGAAAAAGAAAACACGAAGAAGGAAACACAAAAAAACAATTGTGTTTTTATTTGAGTCTGCAATCTTCAGCCAGCATTATTTTTTTAATTCTTTTTCCTCTTCAAATATTGCTACTTTCCATAGTTTTTATATAATTTGTGTATACCCTTTTTGATTTCAGTGGAGATTCACTTACACATCAACTCTGTCAATAAATGGTTGAGTTGAGAAGTTGCAAGGATACAAACAGCTCAGTTGACAAAATTCATATTACTATTAATGATGTGGATAAATTATTTTCCCTTTATTGATTTCTCTTTCATTTTGGATGACATTGTTAATTGAGATCGATTATTTAAGTGCTTAACTCCTTATATTTCAGTGAGATAAACAAATACTATTTTTGTATTTTTTAATACTGTGAGATTCAAGAGGACAGACATAACCATGTAAGTATTCTATAAAAATTTGGTAAGAGTTGGTATTGTGTTTTAGACTAAAAACAGTTCCTCAGTTTGATGATGAAATTTATGTGACAGAATATCCACAGGACTCAATCATGTATAGATCATTTCTGACATGTGATGATCCCAAAGGAGTTGTAGGATGTGGGACTATCAGGAAATACAGGACTTGTTCTCACAAAATGAAGGACAAGACTAAAGTCCAGAAGAGAGATGAACACTTAGAGACATCCTTGATGAACAAAAGATACAACAAAGAAGAGAAGTTCCCAAAAGGAACTGATGGAAGTCTCATTGGTCCATCATCCATGCAGCTCTCACAGGTCTCTAGAGGGGACCAAAGTTTGAACAACATGATAGATTCATGGTCTAGAGATCTTATATATGGTGAAAAGTCTGAAGATATTGCACAACATATTCTAAAAGGTGCTCTAGATTTGCAAGATTCTCTAATCATGCTTCGCAAGTTGCAAGAGGCTTCGCAGCATACAACTCCTTTTAGGAGAAAACAGACAGAGAAACTCAAAAGAGATACAATTGATGCAAAGATGATTGGTAAAATGCAAGCTAATCCATTTAGTGAACAAAGTAATCCAAAGGGGCTTCAAAGTCCTCAACCTTGTGCTGGTGGTTCTTCAAGTAATTGCAAAGAGGAACTTAAGAAAGTGATTAAGGAGAGTTTGGTTAGGCAAAATATGTTTCCGACAATGACCACTGAAGGATTGAATTCAGCTTCAGAAACTTTTTCCACAAGTCCAAGTCACTCTTCTGGGGTCAGGACTAACAGCATTTCTGATCCTTCTTTCTCAGTAATAGCTCCAAAGGTGGAAAGAGGACCCAGCCTAGTAGTCAAGTTGATGGGTTTAGAAGAACCCCCCTCAAGATCATTTCCATCTGTCATGCAGAAACAGTTGGATGGTGAAAAGATTATGAACCAGAAGAGACCTATATTTGATATAGATATGTCAAAGGTAGCAAAGAATGATTTCATAGCTGAGAAGATTAGTCCAGAAGAAAAGGCCCCAAGGGAAACTCTTGACACCATGCATTTCAAAGGACTTCTCAACAAGAGTTTTGTCAAAGAGCATAAGCTTCAGGTCCATCATCTCAATCATCCAAATTCCAAGCAGATAATGAAAACTCAATGCACTCTATACCAGGAATCAGTGAAAACCCCTACACGAGAAGAGCTATCCATGAGAAAACTGAAAGCAGAAATAGTCTATTCCAAAAATGTCAAACACAGAAAAGGTTCCAGTTCCACCAACATGGTAAAAGAAATGGAAAAAGGTGAAACCAAACGGCTCAACAAAGAAGAAGAACCTAAATTTCTCAAGGAGGTCGTGAAACCAGATGCAAAAGGAATCATTCTTCCTATTGAAGCATCATCAGGTAAAGTAAAACTGTATTGTCACACTGGTTACACATCACGGGTGAACGAGACAATTGATAAAAAATGGAAGGTGCAAACCATTAGTAGAAAACAGCCAGAAAATGCAAGGCATCAATATCAACGAGAAATCACTACCCCCACAAAATTGAGGAAGTCAAAAAGTAGGTCCACAATCGATAAGGCTGAGAATTCCCACCTAAAGAGCACAGGTTCAGACAATATCTCCATCTCAAAAACAGAGGCACCAGGAACTAATAATTCCAAGGAGCTCAATATGGAGATTAAAAATTTTGATTCTGTGGTAGATTCCTTGATACTTGGAAAGAATCAGATGAAGAACCATTGTCCTGTTTCTGAGCCTAAGCCAGCTAAACTAATTGTAAGTTTACTTTCAATGTAAATTTCTTTTATGATTTTAACACTACAGGAATCTAAGCATGGAAAATACAATGTTGAAACAGTGTTCATACTTAGGATTGTACAATCCTTAATCAATGAAATTAAGCGAGATTTTCAATCTGAGTCTGAACTTACAATTCTTCTGCACAGGTTGATCAAATCAAGCAGGGAATAGAAAATAAAACTATTGATGTTCCTGGTAAGGAGGATTTTACTGAGATTAGGATGGCTAATACAGTAGTAGATGAACTCCTGATGGTGTGTGAAGCAGATGCCTGCACAAGTATGATCTTAATGCTAAGCATTGTTCAAACTTCAAATAGCTTTTCATTGTTTTTATCACTACACTTAGGAATAAATTGGAAGTTTGTTCATCACATGAAATACATTTTGATTTTGTCTTTAAGCGACTCATTACTAATTTATTTTGTATCTCTGAAGAATGGAAGGTGAACAAGTGTTCTTCAAGCAATGACATTATGCTGCTAAACTCTGAACATGAAAATGATTCTACCCTTGCTGAAGAAGCTCATGAAAACACTAAATGCAGTGAAGCTGATGATAGCATTAACCATGACCAAGAAGGGACTGAACTGAAACATTTTCTCTTAACCAGTGAATCATTCATTGGACATGCAAAGCAGTTCTTTAATCTTGATTGGGATTGGGCCAAGATCCTACAAAAAGGTGAAACTAACTATGGCATGGACAATCTGAGACTTTATTTGGATTATGCAAATGAAGTCATTGAGCTTAAAAGCCTTCAAGAGTCACAAGTAGTTTGTTCTTTCTTGCTAGCATGTAGGGGGGACTCAAGATTACACATCTCCTTAGGCAAGTTGGTTGAAGAAATCTATAATGCCATTGAGAATCTGAAATTTTACAATGAAAAACCTTTTGCTGGCAATGTCTTTGCAATAATGGAGAAAGATATGAAATGCAATGGAGTGATAAATAGTATGTGGGAGAGGGGTTGGAGGCATGGATTTTCTGCAGATGAGGCTGAGCTAGTTGTCAATAAAATAGAGACCCTGCTTCTAATTGGATTAATTGAGGAGCTTATTATAAATTTATGATTATTGTAGAATTCACGGTCTTAAAAAATCAGTATCTTCACCTTGTTGATAACTGATAAGGACTTATTATACAAAATACAAGAGTTTCAAGTTAAAACCGTTGGCTGAAGAAGTTACTTAGTTTTGGTATGTGAAGTTTTCAGAATAGTAATTTATAAAGCGCAATAGCTCCTTTTACCTGAGGTTAGACACATTTTTGACATATTCTTTGTTAGATATTTAACTAAAAAATACTAATTTTTACTTCAGGTCATATACACGAGTCAACACCTCTACATAAATGGATATTTTAAAGACACTAATATTATAAAATAATATTTAGCATTTTTGGTCTTGTAACATTTATATTTTTTAAAACATTAAAAGTCGCTAAATTTAAAATAATATAAGATATTAAAAATAAGAAGTAGAATTTTGTCACACTAATGTAAATATAAAAAAATTTATATTAAATTTTTTATTTAATTTATATTTAACGAGTTATAATTTATTATTTTATTAATCATTAAATGTAAGGTAAATAAAAACTATAAATTAAATATAATAACTTTTAAACTTACGGTTAGTGAAAAAAGATACTTTCTTTACAAATAATCCTCTTTAGTATTTATTTCAAACTCATTGCTGTAATAGAAAAGGAAAACACACAAAAAAATAAAAAAAAAAAAAATCTCTTTAGTATTTGTATGATGCAGTGTCCTACATTTCAATCATTAACTATATCAGTGTCCATATCTACGTTATATCTGGTATCCGTTTGGAAGTCTTTGCTTTAATGTTTGATCATGCAAGCTAACCTAATTTAAAACTACTGAAAATGTCGTACGCAGATATCGGAATCATTTATTTTTTTATTTTATTTTGATGAATAATTGTATCAAATTTTATTTAACGAAATGCTAATATAAAATCAAATAATGCTAAAAATAAATAAATTTAATTGGTATGTATAGTTGCTCAATAATATTTGTAACGTATTATTATTTATTAATTTCACTTTAAGTACTGAGGAAACAAAATGATAATAAAAATAATGTTTATTAAAGTGTCCTGGATGTTATCATGAATTTTCATTAATATTTAATTCATGCATATTAATTAAACTAAAAAAATTATATGCATCAAAATTAAACTTGCTTTTATTTTATTATAAGGCCCTCTTTTATTAGCCACGTAATAAGGTAACAATTATTCATTTTCAGTTTCTCAATAAATTTTAGAAACTTTTCAATTTATTGAGAAAAAAAAAAGGAGGGTAATGAACATAATGGGCTGGAAACCCTTTTATGTGTCTTATTTGTTTTGCTGAAAAGATAAACAATCAAGTTGGAAATAAAAAATAAAGGAACAAGTTTGTCGTAATCCAAAAAATCATGAACTCGAGAATTGTCATCCTTCAGTCCAGTTATGCCACAAAACGCTAATGAATTTAAAACAATTAATTGACCAAATTAATCGTACTTCAATCACATTGGCTCTATCTTTTTTAATCTAAGCTCATCCTATTACAGCTTGATATTTGCATTTGGGAAGAAAAAGTCATCATTATATACGTATATATATTCTGGTAATAAATAAGAAAAACAAAGAAAAAGATAATATATAACTCTATGAATATTATTTTTGTTTTAGGAACTCAGAGTAATAACCTTTAGTTTTATGGTTTTTTTTATTTTTTATCTTTTATTAAGAACAATAAACTCTGGTTATCCATGCTAAAATTTCCAAGTAACATGTCATGCAATTTCATTTTATTTTTGTACATAAAGGAAAGACAGCATCATTATGGTTTGATTGATAGAGTTGATGTAGGAGAATCTAGAGTCGAAAAGCCCCATTTGAGAGAGAAAATGATGGGAACACTTCAACCATTCCTCCCTCATCCATTCATAGCTCTCCCATTATGTAACAACTAGAATTCTGCTTATACATACATGGAAGACAATTAGATCAAGAAGAGGTCCCTTTATATATAAGAAAATTAAGGGTCTCTAGAGCAAAATAGATGAAAGTCCCTGGTGAATGGGTGAAATAGCACCCAAAATTGGAACCCACCACACATTGCCACCCATTCCCATATACAGTATCAAATTCCTGAAAAACCAAACACCGCCATATAATCAAATGAAACTACCCAGAAATAAAAAGCATTAGGCAAATTAACATGAAAAGGCAAAAAATTTATACATGAGGAGTCAAAGTGATGCACCTTCTTGATATGGGCAGCAATAGAGATGCAATCAGAAACATCATAGTGATCAAGGGCCTGAGAAGCAGAGGCCATGGCACGGATTTGCATCTTCATTGGCATGTCTGTTTCTTTCACCATAGCTTTTCCTTCCAACATCCTTAAAGAGCTCTAGAAGTGGCTTTGAGTCTCCCTATGTTGCTCTATATTACAAGGTTTTGTAGTGTAGGAATCTGTGTTAACTATGGCCGAGATTGTGGCATAAGAAAAATAAACCAAACGCAGGTTTTGTTTGTTCCAATCCAACAATAATACATAGGAAATATGAGTGATTTTATTGATAGGGTGGCACTACTTTGAGTGAGGCACGTAACCTGGCCTTTTTGCTCAGCTATCTTGTCTACATCTCATCCCTTTTCTCTCTCCATTCACCAACAAGCAATGTGATTGGATTTATTTATTTTTTATGTTTTAGAAACTGCAAATATTTATTTGGGTTAATTCCTTTGATTTTCTTAACTTCAGCTTTAAATACTTTTTTAATAAAAAAATTATTTTTAGTTGTTTAATTTTAACTTCAGTATTTTATTTATTTATTTTACAAAGTTAGTAAATGAATATTTATTTATTTTAAAAAGAAACAGATTTAAACTTATTCTATTGAAGACGGTTTTGGTATCAATTAAAAGTTAATAGATAAAAAATTGTTAAAAGTTACAGTATTTAATATAAAAAATGTAAACGTTAAATTTAAAAATAATTTAAAATTTTAAATATATTTGAAAGTAATGAGTATTTTTTATATAAAAAATAGCATTGTTAAATATTTAAAATAAAATTTAAATATTAATATTAATAAGATCGTTTTTTACTATAAGAAATGGTCTGCGGATTGTTTGATGGAAAATGGTTCCCGTAGTTACGTATCTATCTTTCCTATGGCTACGCGTAGAAATTTCCGTAGTATTTATCATTAAAAATAAGGAAAATTTATTTTCAATATTTTTATTCTGTAAATTAAAAATGAGTTTAAATTAGCATTAGTGCATCTCAGATAAAGTTTATCAACAAAGAATAAAGAATAAAATATAAAAAATTATCAAAACCCATTATTCAGAATCGTAATCCATTGTGCATGATGTAATTCGCATTAACTCAATTCAATTCCTTTGGTCAGGCACCACACACACTCTGTACCAAAAAATAAAGGACACCATTAGGGTTTTGGATACGAAGGTTGGGCTGCTGTTAGAAAGGCCCAGTATGGCCTTTTTATATCTAAATAGCAGATAGTGGGTTTTCTTTAATCAACAAAAAGGTTCTAAGTTGAGACATGTTTTGCAGCTCATTTAAAAAAAAACCCACACACAATTAATTATACTTTTTTTTTTTTCTTACATTTTCCCTTTACATATTTCAAAATGGTTGACTGGGACAACCGCGTTATATTGGACTGAAACGAAAACAACAACGACTAGCCTTACCGCGTAATCTTTCAATTGTTTGACCAACAAAGCTTCATACCTCCAACCTTAATTTTGAACAACCTAAACAGTAAAGTAGATAATATGTTTTTGGCTTCTTTGTTTATAAAGTTGAAGTATATGATAAAAATAAAGAAATGTTAATTTCCATTAACAAAAACAAATTCACCGCATAACCAACAATTTTTTAAAACAAATACATATTATTTTTTATCAGGATAAAAAATTAGCAAAACTAACCGTGAGTATTTTTTTACACACAAATGTTATTAAATTAAAATTTATGTGTATTTTCTTAAAAATTTAAAGATATATTAGTTTTTCAGTTTAAAATTTAATAGTTTTATAAAATTTTTAAAAGAATCAATACTCTAACTATTAATGATAAATATTTAATTTTATAACAAATAATGTTAAAAATATTTTTTAAAATTAAATTTTGTATAAGATTTGAAATTGAAATGTAAATCAAGTAGCATAATAAATTATATTTTATAAAATATTTCAATTTAAAATAGTTCTTAAAAACACTATTTTGAAGGTTATTAACTCGTATATGTTATATATAAGATTAAATCATAGATAAAATTTATTTAATATTTTTTTAGCTCATATTTTACATGATAAAGTTTAGATACAGTTTCTTAAATATTTTTGTGTTATTTTTAATTAAAATTAAAATTTTATTTTGATAATTAACAACATACTAAATGCTTATCTTTTATCAAAATAAAAAATTATAAAAATTGAAACTAAATTTATACTATATTCCTACTACAATTGGATACATGCATTTTCATGGGAGCCCCACATGAATCCAGCTATTGGGCAAAATATAAAATAAATATTAAATAAGCTCATTCTAGTCACATGCAAGATGCTACCCTACAAATACAATTCCATCCCAAAAACGTCATTTTTTAAATATTTTAATTTTAATCGTCACCTCAACCAAAAAAGAAAGACACTCAGATAATAAGAACGGGAGTTTTTAAAATTACATTTTAGTTTTTTTTTGTCACATAAATTTTAGTTTGGATCGAATAAAAATGAAAAAACACAAACAACGGTGAGAGAGGAAAGAAATAATAGAATTGAAGAGTTATTTTGAAAATTTGTGATTCGTGCGAGTTTGACACAGAGTTGCAGAAGAAGCAAAGGGATATTGGGAAGTTCGAAACGTCGTCGTTGCTGCGGTAATGGGCGATGACAAATCCTCGACGGTAATGAGCAACAGAGACAGAGATCGAGAGCTTCTCATCCCCGTCGCCGATTCTGGCGACGACGATGCCGCCTCCAAACCATCCTCTTCCTCTTCTTCCGTCCATCATGCTGGCCGTGAGGTAATCATCTCTTTCTCCTCTGCTTTAGGGTTTCAATTGAAATTACTATTTCTTTTCATATTACTGGAACATGTTTTTGCCACCTTTGAACTAATAACTCTTTCTTACCTGTATGTGTTCATGCCAATTTAAATTATCCAATTATTGAATTATATTTATATATATTTTTTTGGGTTAAAATCGCGTAAGTAATGAAATCTTACAAGACTGACACTGCTTCCATGGATGAGTTGAGTTTATTATCTCTTTCCGGAGTTTATTCACTTGTTTCTCCAAGGCCGAGTCACGTGCTTCATAATTTGTACCTCATCAAGCATTGAATCATTTTTTTTAATAAATGGATGTAGTTGTAGACAGAGTTTAACATAAGATGATCCAATTAATTATGGGTAAAAGTGCGGTGAATTGCTTATTAGTGGGGGTGGGGGACCTGTGTTAATTTATTATGAACAGTTCTATAAAGGTGTGGTTGTGCATGGAAGTTTCCCTGACTTTGCATCTAAAGCATTTGTTTGACACATTGTCATGCGTTGTTTCTGTCAATTTGTAGACTTTTTACAAAGTTGTTAGGAGCTGGACATCAAAAAAGTTCATGACCGGATGGTACGCAAATTTTATATATATATATGCTGTGTCCTTACATCTTAAACAGTTTTTTGGGTCGTATGCAATGTCTTGCTACTCTAGACATGAATATATATGTCGTGTCATTGTACATTTTTACATGTCAAACTACTGCACATGTTACACCTTACTCTTTCATCATCTTATTATCATTTCTGGAAGGAAAATGGTCTATCTGTATGCTTTGAATAATTAAACAATTTGTTTTCTCTAATTTTTATCTACATTTTGTTTCTGATGGCATCTTGTTTGGGTCATGAACTGAAAACACTTATATTTGAAAGACTTACTGCCGTACATGATACTTAGTTACCTTATGTTCAAAAGAACTTCCCTTTTTTAGGAGGATCTGAGATATTTTTCTAGTACTATATTCAAAGTGGTACTCCTTATGTCATGGGAAACCCTAATTGAACCAATCTAGGTTCTAGATTAGAAATCTCCAAACTGCTTATTGAATTTGAGCCATACTAAATCAAACCGTAGTCTTTTTGTCTATAACCACTATAATTAGAATATGAATATTCCTAGAGTCATCTCTATTCTTTATTGCGCGGTTTTAGAAATATAAGGTAGCAATGGAGAAATAGACAATTCTATAGAAGTTGTAAACACGAGTTTATATAGAAATAGAGTCAAGAATATTTGTTCCTATCTAATATTTGTCTTTCTATTTGCACAAATCTTGGATTTGCAAAATTATTTCCTCCGTCAAGGTTGATTGTCTTTACATTTATTTCAGACTGCCCATTTCATGAACATACTACTACATTTGACATTTTTTATGCTGTCATTTAAGAACTAATCTGATGCTCTACTCATATTATGGCACTAGCAGCTGAGTGTAATGAATTCCTGTCTTTATCTGTTCTGGTGAATTGGTGATAGCTCACTTTTTTTTTTTTTTGCTTTTTTTGAAGTGTCATTCTTTTTCCAATTGCAATCACCTTCTACATAACATGGTGGTTTATTCATTTCGTGGATGGGTTTTTTTCTCCAATCTATGCTCAACTTGGAATTGATATCTTTGGTAAGTACTCTTTTGTTTTATGGTACTTCACTATACTATGGCTATTTAATTTTATTTGATGAACAATGTAGTAATTCTATATTGTTAATGTTAATTTTATTTAAGTTTTGTTATTTTCAATATTTGGTTGGGTTTATTGGAAGTATAAATGTGCAACAGAGCTGCTAACTTATACAAGTTGTTAGTTGTTACATGCAAAATAGATATATTGTTGGCTATTGTGGTCTCTCTAACTCTAACCTCTGAGGTTACTTGTTAGATGTAATGGTAGCACTGAATATGTTGAATCAATTGCTAATACTTCTTGGTCAGGTCTTGGATTCATAACTTCCATAACTTTCATCTTCTTGGTTGGGGTTTTCATGTCATCATGGTTGGGTGCATCTGTCCTGGGTCTTGGGGAGTGGTTTATCAAGCGAATGCCTCTTGTTCGTCATATCTATAATGCCTCCAAGCAGATCAGTGCTGCTATTTCTCCTGGTGTGTTTGGCCACATCCTACTCTTAATTGTGATGCTGATATGTTTCTATGTAATGTTGGATGAGGAGAATTGTTTGTGTTAACATATGTGCTGCTGCAGATCAAAATACACAAGCATTCAAAGAAGTTGCCATCATTCGGCATCCACGTGTTGGTGAATATGCATTTGGATTCATCACCTCATCTGTTGTCCTTCAGGTTTCATCATTGCTTTTCAATTCAGAATTTTTTCGTCATTGCTTTTCAGCTCAGAACTTTTTCATCATTGCTTAAGTTGGTGTGTTGTAATGAATGCTATGGTGTTTTCTGCCAGAGCTGTGTCAGTTTGGAAGGGAATATTTTGGACTATTATGTTACTTCTTGCTTAGTTAATGATGGTAGTATACTGATCTATGTGTTACCAGTAATGATATACAGCACAGGTCCATATGTTAATACAGTAGCAACATATAGCCAATGCGTATTTGGGGCTTGGCTTGGTTTTACTAATAATGGAACTATTATCTTACTCAGTGGATGGAACAGAGACACTAAATAAGTGTTATGGCCACTTAATGGAAATTTGCATCCATTATTTCAATAATGTGGGTTGTCATGAAGCCTTTTAGATTCTTTTTCTTGTTTATCTCTGAAGCCATATAATATTGCAAGATACCCTTTTGATTGCTCAAAGGTTTGTGGTGCACTAATTTCATAATCAGTTAGCATTTTTCAGAATGCTCATTCTGATTGCTTTGTAGATGTCAACTTGTGATCATATTCAATAGTTTGAATTTGAAGTTTTTGGAAAATTTCCATAGTCATAAGCATTCGAGTTTGGTTTAGTGTCAATTAATGAAAATGTTCTGCCATTATTAGAGCTTGAAATGACTTTGCATGTTAAATTTAACTCTCTTTATTGTATTGTAATTGCACAGAATTATTCTGGAGATGAGGAGCTCTGCTGTGTCTATGTTCCCACAAACCATCTTTATATCGGTGATATATTTCTTGTCAACACCAAGGATGTCATTAGGCCAAACCTATCAGTGCGGGAAGGAATTGGTGAGTTCTAGTTTTTGTAGTTACTGAGTCTTACATTACACAAAAAATTGCTTACGTTGTACTCTTAACATTGTGATCATTTTTTTAGTGAACTCCTGCCTGGGGCGAGTTAAGTGGCTTTTGGTCTTGCTAATTTGGGATCGAGGAATAATTATTAAAAGATCGTAATGATAATAGTTGCATGTACAATTACAGACTTCTCTCACATACTCTTCATAGTTTTTGTTCAAACCACTACACGACACTCTAATCCTTTTGCTACTTTTTTATGATCGTCCAGATTCTATTCTACACATACCTCAATAGTTTGCGTAACAATCATCTCTATGCTAACTCATGCTCTACAATTTGCACAGCATGAATATTTGTGCATGTTGGTGGACATATGCTAAAAGGAAAAAGTTAATGAAAACAATCTGATGGGATTCATTCTAATATATTTTTAACATATGCCATGTTTTGCAGAAATTGTCGTTTCTGGAGGCATGTCAATGCCGCAGATCCTATCAACACTTGATTCACGTGTTCCAGTGGAAATAGGAAGACCTGATAGAAGATGAGAGTGAAAAAAGTATACTAGTTGTTCTTTTAGTAGTTTGCTTTGTTTCATATTTAGTCATCAGAGTGGCAATGCAACCAATTTATGTTGCAAGGGCTGAATTTGAATTTACGTCATTAATCTATGAGAAAGTGTTGGATTCTGATGGTTTGTGTAGCATTCGTACCTGTGTAATAATAGAATGAAGAATTTAGCGTTTGTTTGAAAATGTGGTGTGGGTAATGATACAGGCTTACAAAGTTTACTGTGGTAGAAGTCCCTACTTTCTGCCCGTGCATATTATTTTGGTGTCCTCAACATAGCAATTCAATTTTGTACCTCAGATAACTGGTTTTCAACTTTTTAATTTTTGGAACAAAACTGGCATTCAACAACTATGGCGTTCCTGTGTGGTTTTTCAATTCCTTAGCCAGTGAACTTGTGCGTGTAATTTTTTTCCTTGGAGCTTTTCTAAATTGCGTGTTTAAATACGTTATAATAAAACATGTAAATATAAATTTAACGTATGTAAGTGCACAATTACTCAGTCAGCTGTCATCATTTTCTGTTTTTTTTTATTTTTTTATTATTGTTATTAAACAAACATGCAATAATATGACACTTATAATTTAATAAAATAGTTCATTTCTGTCGTACACTTTTATAACTTAATTTGAGTTATTTATTTGTTAGTATATTATTTTATTCTTGTGTTTTTTAGTAATTATTGAAATAATATACGAAAAAAAAGGGCAAGACGGCAGCAATAGGATTTGACGATGGGATAGTAAAATAACGAAACAATATTCCAACCTTTTATTTGGCCAATTACATGACTAGTGTAAAATAAAAGGTCTCGTTAAGGTGTGGCTTAAAATAGTTTATTAAAAATTATTTAATTCACTCTCTATAATAATTTAAAAACAAATACTAACTATTTTTTATTTTAACTTAAATTACATATATTTTTCTATTTTATTTTTTAATTACTGTTTTAAAGACATTTATTAATATTTTCAATAAAGAAATATTATTTCATATAATTTACATTTATGGTATGCATATCTAAAAAATATTTATGTCAAATTGGATGCATAGATAATGGGATGAATAAAACAAGTTACTTAGTTATCCCATTTATTATATTTTAATTTTTAATAATTTTTTTTGTGATATGAAAACCAATATTTATACATTATATCGGATATTTGACCAAATTGGATTGCTTTTTTCCTTCTTTTTTGTTCAGATATTTAGAAAGAGTGAATAGTGCTCTGTTTCAAAGCAGAGAAAATCAATGACAAAAAAAGGGTAAGAAAAGTCGTTAAAATAAAAAATATTTAGAAAACTTAAATTTGTTTTAGCTCAAAGAGATGAGTGAAAGAAAAATAAAAATTGAACCTGCTATTATACAAAACTCTATCATAGGTTGGGTAGAATATAAGTATATTATTTTCTTAGTAAAAATGGTGGAAAGGAGATAACTTATCTAATCCTACCAGGGAGACCATAAAAAAAATAAAAAAATAAAACTCCAGCCAAGATGATTACAATACAAGCCTAAATTTTAAACAATTTTATCCAACAATAATTATTTAACTAATTTCCTAGAGTAAAAAAATTCACATTTTTAAAACTTGAAACTTAATCAAACTTGTGCTTTTAAACCATGATAAGTTGTTGGTTGTTATGCTCCTAAAATTAAACACCAAAAACAATGTAAAAAAGCTTATTTCTTTACTAATTTTTTTTTTTTTGCTGGATTAACTAAATTGAAAATAAAATATTATAAACAAGCCATCTAATTAGATTTAAATAAATTTTAGTTAAACAAAATTAAATAATATTTTTATCAATCAATCATCTTTCTTAATCTTAATCAAAAAATCATTTTTATTTTATTTTATTTTTGTCAAGAATTAACTTTTAATTTATCTAAATTTTTTTTTTTATCTTAACCCCTTGAGCATTGTGTTGTTATTTTGCGGCGCAGCTTAACGATGAGCGCACTCTTCGGCCCATTCTCATTCTAAACATCACCCACTTACCCAAAACCCTAGCTCTCATTCCCCTCTTTATAAACACTCTTTACCCTCATTCTTCTTACGCCTTCCCAATATTAGGGTTTTCATCTTCTGCTGCATTTTCAAAGAACCATTTTCTTTATCATTTTTTGTTCTTTTCGTTTTCTTTTGATTATTGGAGTATTCTTTCAAGCGGTAGATTCAATTGGAACGGGATGGTGACGATTTCTATGTAATTAAGGTCTCGTTCGTCGTATTTGGCCTAATCGGTCATGCCGACCACCCATATTCCGAGTCCCTCTTTCATCCCGTTGTTTTTCTCTCTTGAAATATCCAACGGATTAACGTTTTGGATGATTCCTTACTGATTAATATTCATTATTAGGGTGCGTTATTTGTGGTTTAGGATCGGCACATCATTATAACACAACAGTAGACAAACATATGTCGGAAGTAATTTGTGTGGGTCAATCTAATTTTGATTAGCGTTTTATGAACAGACTAATACTTATGTTAGTTGTTTATGAGCAGTCCAGGTATTATTCTACACCCGCTTCACATACTCTGTTACTGTAATCTCTATGCTATTCATGTCTATTCATGATCTGCAGTTTGCGCAGCATCGAATGGTTGCGCATGCTGGTGGACATGCTAAACGGCAAAATTTACTGAAAATCTAATTTAAGTCATTTTGTTATATTTGATATCTTCTACATATTCCTTTATTTATTTAATCAGTGTCTCTAACGTTTGTTTGTTTGTTGATTAGTGTCTCCTCTTCGAGGATAGAAGTTCTTATTTGGTGCCTTAAAAATTTTCCTTAGCCTTTGCTCAGTTTTGCCTATGACGAAAGAAATGGAAAATGTGATAATGCATGATTATTCATGATTACATTACCATACTGCCTTCCTTCCGAGGCTTTGGTTTTCAAATCTTGTAATTTTTTTCACGGTACATTTTTTATTTTCATGTTTTTGTGAATTTTTACAATTGAATCTCTTTTACGCTACATTTTTTTGTTAATTGTTTCCTTGATTAAGGCTCAATTTGGCAACCCATCGAAATGAATGAAAACCACAGCCATTTGTTTTATAAATTGTTTCAGTCAATGGAACACAGCCAGTTGTGGTTTGTGTTGTGGATGTCATGTGAGGGTCATATGATGATCATAAGCATAGTTCAGATGATTTATCTGTGATTATTTTGTTTTTTAGTCTTTCGCTCCTATCTGATGACCCTTCCATTCTTCATTACATTTTGCGACTTGTTTTCATTTGATAATTATATGTGGAGTGTTAGGTCATTTTAAATTTTCATCTCTTCTCTTCTCTTGCTGGAACTGAAAATATTTTGCATTTTTCTTAAGTTTTCGTTTGCTGTATTTGTTTGTAAATCAGAGCTCTCCCTTTTGAATCTGGTGGGACTTTACGTCTGCCCCTTTAGCAGTATGTCCAAATGCTTTAGGGATGAACATGTCCCTTATACTATGCATCCACCTAAGTCATTTTGTAAGCTCTGTTTTTTCAAATATTTTGCTGATCATTATAGGATGAAATGTTTGTTTTATTTTAAACTTTATATGCGGAAGATTGCTTGTCGTTTTCTTGTAACCATTGTAGTGTATGTGTATTTGTTTTTTTATTTACCTTTTGTTTGTTTCTTCCTTTAGCTATTTTCTTTATGTTCCAAAGTTTCAATCCATGATGACTATCATTTAAGGCTTGTTTCTCAAAACATTCGCAGTGGCCGCCTAAGAACTTTCGCATTGGCCAGGCTTGAGAGCTAATGCTGCTATAATCCTTCCCTGGATGTCTCATATATTTGTTTTTTGTATTTTTTGGTTTGAAAATTTACTATCTTATTTTGTGGTTGGGTGGGTTACTGCAGTTTATTTGATTGTTTTGTTGACTCTGCACTGTTATTTTAAGTAAACCGGCCTATTCATTATAGCCAATTTCGTAATGTAACTTTTTCAAATAATTGAGTTAATCGATGATGATAAGTCCAAAGGCTTGTTTCTCAAAACATTCGCAGTGGCCGCCTAAGAGCTTTCGTCTCCGCCGGGCTTGAGAGCTAATGCTGCTATAATCCTTCCCTGGATGTCTGAGGTTATATTTTGGTTTGAAAATTGACTATCTTATTTTGTAGTTGAGTGGATTATTGTAGATTATTTGATTGTTTTGTTGACTTTGCACTGTTATTTTAAGTAAACCGGCTATTCATTATAGCCAATTTCGTAACGTAACTTTTCCAAATGTTTGAGTTAATCGATGATGATAAATCCAAAGGCTTGTTTCTCTAAACATTCGCAGTGGCCGCCTAAGAGCTTTCGCCTTCGCCGGGCTTGAGAGCTAATGCTGCTATAATCCTTCCTTGGATGTCTGAGATGATGTCTATTTTGAGTAGTGAATTGACTTGATTCTTTGAGATTTCATTCATTTTCTTACTTTTACATTGGCTATTTTGATGCTTTGCTGTCCACTGGAAGTTATGTCGCATTCTTATTTCACTCATAGATTACCAATCGAGAGTCTTGTTTCTCCAAAACATTCATACTGGCCGTCCAAGAGCTTTTGCCTTCAGGCTTGAGAGCTGGAGCTGCCAGAATCTTCTAAAATGTGAAGCATTGAATTTGCATCATTCCTGTATTTGTACCATAAATTAATGTATTATTTATTTAATTGTTGTCCATGTAAATTTTCCAAAAAAATGATATTAAACTACTGTTTAACATTATTGATTTAGAATTTTTTTCGTATATCTTTGCTTTGGATGAATTAATTTAACCTACCGCAAATTAAGAAAAATCAAATCTTGCTTAACCTAATAACTTGATGGATTGGTTCTCGAAATATAAATATATCAAATTTATATAGAATTTTGTTTTTAGAAGTGAAAATCATAATCAAGCAAGTAGCATAAAAAATTATGAAACATTAAAAATTTATAAGCGTTTGTTTGGCCTGCTATCAAGTAATTATGAAATAATAATCTAAACACACAATTGTAAGAGTGAGGAAAATTGGAATGTCACGGGGTCGTGTTGATTTAATCATGTTTGTGAAACTAATTTTTTGTAGTGCATCTCAGCCAGTTGAGTTCAAATATGATAGCTCGTATCATTTCTCCAGAGCACCTAGTACATTATTGATTTATGTTATCATGTTTTAGAAGTGAAAATATATTTAATGTTCTATAGAAAATGATAGCAAAACCGTTTATAGATTTGCAATCTCTCTATAGTCATGACTCGGGTCTCACTTTGCTGAGTCGATAGTTAATCATATTCTTGCATGCGTTACGAAATTGTCGCTCTTCCTGCGTAACTCTTAGAAAGTGCAACAAAAATAATTGGCCAAGCATCCATAGGATTTCGGACAGATAAAGAATGCTTTGGCTAAGCAAGATATCTTCAGATGGTTTAATGCAATGGGTCTTCCATTTTTTTTCACTCAAATAATCCTTCTGTGAGAATGAATGTTTCAATGAAATTTTATTTATTCACAAATGGATATTAATGCAGCGCCACTTAAAAATTAAGGTATTGATTAATCTTGCATCATTAGTAGAGATAAAAATAGTTCACTAAGTGAATTTTACACAAATAAATTTGACCTATTTAATAATTTTAAAATCTAAATACTAAACTTATTATTTGTCATAAATTCTTTATTAAACTTAACTTGACTTTTTTAAAAACTTATTTTTATATATTCATCTTCATAATGACATTTTATATTAAAAGTATTTTTATAAATAAATTATTAAACTATCTAAATAGGTATATTTTTATAAATCATAAAGTTTATATCTAAATAAGTTATAAAAAAAATATTTAACACTTTGAATATATATAATAAAATTATATATTTCTATTTTATTAAAATACTAATCAAAATAACACATACAAATAATAGATCAAATAAAAGTAATACAAAAAAAAACTCCAACAAATGGACACTCTTTAATTCTAACAAAAAAATATTAGAGTTTATGATTGAATATTTTATTTATTGTAAAATTTAATTTATTTAATATAATATATATTATAATTTTGATATAAATTATTTAATATTTTATTATAAATTTTAAATAAATTATTTTAATAAGTCAAGCTACTTTAGGCCTTAAAAAAGCTAGGCCATAAGGTACCGTCTAATAGCCTGACCTGTTTGCATCCTAGTCATTAGTTTACTAGTCACCGAAATCATTGTAGCAACGTTGTATATTTCGCTTCTAGTCCGAGTTACCGCACAGGGGTTCACTGGGAGAAAAAGGCAAAATTGCTGTTGAAAATACATAGAAGATTTTAAAGAAACAGAGTTGACTAATTTAAATGCAGAAGCATGGGTGTGGTGGATTATGTTTTTTACAGAAAGTGTGATCTTGGTACGTCTGCATTAGAATTTTGAATGATTACACAAGCGATCACCACATGCAAGCAAGAGTAGGAGAGCTTAAAAATGTTTTTCCAACTAAGACAAAGTCCTATTTCTTTCCAAAAGTTAATAATGAATAGTAAATGGGACAACACAAAAATTGGCTACATGGGAACAGAGGTCATTGGGATGCTAGAGTAGTCTCCTGCTTTGTTTCGACAGGGCATGTTTCCTTAGAAATTGTGCCCGCAATTCTATTTGGTGGCCAATATCGAAGTACTGATCTACCTATGATATTCTTGGCTGGCAGGGGACCCCTACGAAAATTACATTCCATTCATAACACAATTAGGAAATTAGATTACTGAAAATAATGCAATGCATCTTGATAATTGTTAATTAATTAAACACGGCATTACCACACATGAGAATCATAACTGTTATTGCGGTTGTCTCCCATCACAAAAACGTAGTTCTCTGGCACACGCTGCAAAACAAATATTATTTAATTTAACACCAAAACAACTCACGGTTATGCAGTTACCTTAAGGAACAATAAAGAGTAGAACAAAGCCACAATATGAAAAAGGTTGAACTTACTGTGGGTTTCATCTCATAAGAAGGTGGTTCAAGTATGTACTCTTCACTCCTCTCAACCCCATTAACTACAAGATGCCCTTTACGAACCTGCAAATAATTCAGTTGCTCACAATCACATTGAAGAGACCAAGGCATTGAATCAAGCACACCAAGAATCTGACCAAAGTTAAAAGACAATACTAAATGCCATTCTATATTCTGCCAACTTTAAAGTTCTGAGTGCATGTAAAACCTCAACTAACCAAACTTTAGAACAGCAAGCAAAGAACAAACTTTCCCCAAAATTGAGAAAACAAGCAAGAGGCAAAATGACAATAACAAGATCATGAATGAAAATGTAACAATTCATCGTAGTCATCATAACATTGTCTCAATAAGGAATTGAACAAACAATGAATGAAATATTAATGTGAATGCTCATCTCCAAAGATCTTACCTCGACGATATCACCTTCCTTCGCCACCACACGTTTTATAAAAACATCATCATCAGTGTATCCAACTTCTTGAAGGACCGGAGGGCTTTTAAATATTACTATGTCACTTGCACAAGGTTTTCTAAAATAGTATGAAACCTGAAAACATCAAGATGGATCTTTAGAACAGAGATGCATCAGAAAAGGAAGTCTAATTGAACGGTCAAAATCTATTAAAAGTGCAGAGTTATATGTTTGCATGATTTATCTCAGTAGTATCAAGGTCTACAGTCTCACTTTTTTTGTGGATGGGTTAAATTCAACCTTGAACAATTCTCACCACATCAAATACCGACTACTACCAAACTATTATCACTGGGAAATTACCAATTAAAATCAATTATACACCCTAAACTTGGAAACATGTGTAAGTCTTACTATCAACAAGTTTCTATTTCAACTTTCAAGCCTTACAAACATAAGAAACTCAAGTATTTTAGCTAGCTACAATTTCATTGACACCTTCCGTAAAATAGAAGAAGCAAAAGGAACAAAATGGCTACCTTTTCAGCAACAATTCGATCTCCAACATCAAATGTAGGATACATTGACAACGAAGGAATGTACCTAGGCTCAGCCACGAACGTGCGAAACGCAAGCGATATTGCCAGAGCAGCAAGAACCGTTTTTGCATCATCAGAAGTGAAATTCAACCACTCTGGCAAAGGCCCAGAAGACCCTTCTTTCTTCTCCACATCCCGGTCACCCCCACCCCCACCCCCGCCGTCGCCGTCGCCCCCGCTGCCTCCGCCGTTATCGGACTTGAACACCGCCTTAATGTCCTCGCCGGAATCCCTCAAAGCTTTGCAGTGGATTCTACGGTGACAGCGTGCATATGATGAAGGAATCGTTGAATTTAAACGGGGAATGACGAATTTGAAGGGATTGTAGAAGTGGGCATGGTCCAAGTTAGGGTTTTGAAGCGATGGGAGTGATGGGAAGATAGAGAGGGATGGCATATCTTAAATCTTAATCTTCTGTTGTGTCTGAGTTTGAGATATGAAGCAAAGAAAAGAACAGAAAAGAAAGGAGAAAATGTGAATAAATGTACGGTGAAGATGGAGTTTGTCTCTTTTTTTCTCCTTTCCATATTTTGTCTCTTTTTTATTTACGTTGTTGAATATACAACTTTTTATTTAATTAAATATGAATGAATTAAAAGTGGGAGTCTCTACTCTCTACCAAAAATAATAAAAAGTTGCAAATCTTCACTTTGGTAGGACTAGGATGGCGTTGATGTTCCTTTTCCTTGATTTGTTAGTAACTAGTTCACGTTGTTTTGGAACTTGGGTGCCAAAAAATATATATTCCATTTAAAATTATAAACAATCTTTTTTTTTTTCTTTTTTGAAACTTTAACTTTACCCTCTAAGATTTTTTTTATCAAAATTTTTACTTTTCAACCTTTTTAATAATCTATTTGTCTTAATTTTGTTTTAAATTTCTAATTATTTTAGTAAAAAAAAATAAAGATTTAAAAGTTTTATATAGAGATATTTACGAACCGTTTCAATTCATTTTAAAATGTTGAATCACTATAAAAAATTGAAAAAAACAAATTATTATCTAAAAAATTGAACAAAATGCTTCTCATTTTCAAAATTAAACTGAACCACGTGCATATTAAACTCATATATATTTTTCTATTCTATCTTCAAATAAACCATGACACACACACACACACACACACACACACACACACACATATATATATATATATATATATATATATATATATATATATAATTTAAATAATTCATTCGTTCTAAATAAAAAAATCATATTTAAGGATTTGATTTAATATTATTCTCAAATCAAATTAAAAGTTTTTTTTTTGTTTTTATAATAAAAAATAATTTTTATCACAAAAACAATCTAAATTAAACAATAAATATTCTTAGTTTTATGCAAAGGAAAAGTGGCAGAAGGAATTGATCATGACAATTAAAAAAATAGTAAGTCTAAATTCAAGCAAAAAAATATTGATGACCTAAAATCACATATTAATAATAATAATAAATGCAATTAAGCTTTAGTTTTAAGAGAGGTCTCTCCTATTTTGTGATGTAAGCAAACATGTTGGTCGCGGGCAATTAGTTTTGATTGATATGGTCATAAACTTTTCAGAGTTTTTTCTTGAAGTAAGAGACTTCCCCACAATAAGCAATGCACACAAAATTCCAAATCAATGAATTCTGTACTCATGTAGCGTACACATTTCATTGGTAAGTGAATACTGAACAAAAGCAGCAGCAGTTCAACAAATGCAAATTACATCAGCATTTTGTCAAACTTGCAAGTGTATGTGATCTGATTTATGGAGTTCAACAATGATATCTACAATTGTTCCACTTGAACTCGTCAGCATGGTGTATTGAACTGTCATCCCAGCTCAGAGTCACCTCAACAAAGTATTGACACTACTTTGCAACAATCAAGCAAAGGTCTAACAATCTGATTTTGAATTTGATGCTTACTTACAATCATTGGTTGTACTCCATATGAACTTGTTGTACGAATTAAAACCATGGAAATGGTAGCATTTCGCGTGTTGTCGGGTGCTTTGACTATCATGTGGCTTCTTATGTTGCCATTATTTGTTCTTTCTGGATGAGCTACCACAGCATCAGGTATTTGTAGCAGATTGGAGGACGAAGCACTGAGTTTCTGTTTCTTGTAAATACTTTCTAAACTCCGGACTGGTGGCATCTTGTCGCTGTCAAAACTTCGATCTAGCTCAGAATCTTCTTCTGAACCATTCAGAATTCTGTTGGCTTCTTTGAATAAACCAATGGCGCGCCAAGCATCGGCAACAAGTTGCATAGTGGACATTTCAGGAGCAACACCATTCTCTTCCATAGTAGTGAGTAATTCTTCTGCTTTCCATGGTTGTTTTGCTTCTCCATATCCCCATATTAAAGTTTCATAAGTCTTCAAATTAGGGGGAGTTCCCATTTCATGCATTTTCTCCAAAAGTCTGATGGCACGATCCATTTTGCCTGCAGCACACCAACCACTTATGATGGTAGTGAAGATCACAACATTTGGTTGTACACCATATTTGCTCATGGAAGCCAGAAGAGCCTCAGCTTTTCGTGGCTGTCCGGCACGTGAATAGCCTTTTGCAAGGATGCTATATGCGTGGATATCAGGTTCTATCCCAGCCTTGATCATGTCATTGAATATCTCCTCACAATTGTTCATAAGCCCTGCTGAACTCCATGCATTCATGATGGTGCTAAATGTCACCACATCTGGTTTGATCCCAAATTCCTCCATCAATGTCAGTGCCTGACAATTTTCATTTGTAAGCTACTATCATTATCGCTGAAAAATAAGTAACAGATGGTTCCTATATTAAGAGTACTAAGCTAGCTATTTTGTCAATGTTCCTTCAGCATGTCAACATAGATGGAGGAAAAATGCATACAAGAAAACATTGACTAGTGAAAAGTGTTAGATATCATAACTCACCTCATCTACTCCATTCGTGTCTGTAATGTCTAAATATCCTTTAATAAGAGAGTTGAAAACTACTAGATTTGGATGCACTCCAAGCTCCTTCATTCTGTACAGAAACCTCAAGGCTTCTGTCATATTGCCTTCCTTGCAATAACCACTTATTATGATACCACAAGTTCGTTCATTAGGTTTCAATTTGTTGTAGTACATTTTCAATATTAACATTTCGGCTTTTTCTGTCTCACCGTTCTGAGCATATGCCCTTGCCAATGTGTTGTATGTGACAACATCAGGGTGCAGACCAGAGGCCACCATTTTATGCAAAACATTCCATGCCTCTTCCAGTTTCTTCTTGGTACACCAGGCTTGGATGAGAATATTATATGTTCTCTCATTTGGTTTTACATTTTCATCCTGACCCATCATCTCTAGCAATTTCATAGATTCATGAGGCCTTCCAGCAATCCCAAATCCTTTGATGAGGGTATTATAAGTACTAGTTGTTGGTTTACATCTATACTCCTTCATTTTCTGAAAGATTTTCATGGCTTCATCTACCTTGCCAGAATCAGAAAAAGCATTGATCATGGCATTGAGAAGTATTGAATCAGGCTTCATCCCATTCTCTGCAACTTTAGAAAGAAGTGCAGGAATAGACTTGAAACGCTTTTGGCGGGTTAGGGCAGCCACAAGAGTTGTGTATGTTATGAGAGTGGGCCTATGTCCTTCTTCAGTCAAATTGTTGAAGACGGCCTGAGCTTCATGTGGTTTCCCTCTTCCAATCAAAGTATTCATCAGTTTTGTTCTTGAATGAACCGTTTGGCAACTGTTCTTCCCTTTACAGACAAGACAGCAGGGTTGATTATGCGTCTCTTCTGAAGTAGACCTTAATTTTGAATGGTTGTTCCTTAATTTTGAATGGTTATTCTTGTATTGCTGCAGTTCCTGTTGAAATTGCTAAAAGTTAAAAATTGTAGGGAATGTATCAAATTATCAATACATTTTGATGGTTATCTTTAACATATGATGGCTGATAGATCTAATCCAGTAATCAAAATTCAAATATTTTTAGGCCATAACTTACAGTAGCTGAGCATTTCATCCAGAAGATGTGGGTAATTATGAAATGGTTAGAAATTTCAAATAGCTCACGGCCACGTACAGTTAATTATGTTTGACATTCACTTTACTTTATTGAGATAAATTGGAATAATTCTAGTATCTCTCAGGGCATTTAGATTGAGATGATCCTAAGGTTCCTGAAAGAACCTGAGATCCATCATACATCTTAATCATTCTTATGGTTATTCACCGTTCAGTAACAAATTCCATTGAATAACAATGACAGAAAATTTTCCCTCCCTATCAATAATTTCAAATACCACATAGCATGGATATCTCATACAGCTATAAAATTCAATCTAGTATAAACGTGATCACTTAATGAAATCATGTATCTTATAAGCCAGGGTCAGACAAGTGCACATACTGATTTACCAGAAGACTGTTATTATACTAAAAATATAATTAATATAAATAATGATATAGATATCAACTTAATCTGACATAGAAATTCATGTAGAAATTTTTCTGTCATAATTTAGATATGTAATAATTTTTATCATAGAAAATAGGGAACTGCTCTTCGCACTCTGTCTATAAGTCAGCTACAATACAGTGCTGTTAAGATCAAAGAATTCAAGAATGAATAATGGATGATTATTGTGTGAGCAAGTTATAGATTTCTACAAATGTCAACGATTTGGCTTCACTAATTTAAAGGACGAAATGTGAACGGTTGAGATTGTGATAAAATATATATTGTGTATAAAAATTATGAAATTGTTACAATTTCATTTGCAGATTATGGTTGCACCTAGTCCATTAGAAGAACCAAATCTGTATGACTAAATGCTCAACAACATAGAGATACTTAAGGCTAATTGCAGGTCATAGATAATGCAATTAGGTCCATAGATGATTTTCTGACATAGTCATGAGAAAAATGTTAACTATTTCACAATACCATGACTGATAAATCTTTAGCACTTCCATTACTCATGAGAGCTCCCTTCTGGCTGCTATCCATGATGATGATGAATACACTTGATTAGATTCTCAGAAATTTATTTTGACTACTTCTGAAGGCCTCAGCAAACTACCTTTCTACCTTGGCCAAATCAGATTCTGGCCGCAAGACCTGACAATTGCTGGATTTTATCCTAGCATCATAAGGTGATGCCTCATCCGGAATTATACTGCAAAAAAGATCAAGTGAAGGTTATCATCAGCTAACCTATTTAAAACATAATGACCAAAAAATAAAAAGAACACTTGGCATTAAATGCTATCTAGATGCTCAAAAGAGGCTCCAATCAAAATATGCAAATAATAGAGTACTAAATGCATTTATTGCCAGAGCATTTGCAGAAATAGGATTTGTGCTAATGTGTGCTAGAGAAAATGGCACAAGTAAACCACAAAATTCATACACAAACCCCACACTCAGTTCCATTCGCTCTAGAAATCTTCATTTTATTAATAAATTAACACGCAAAAACTACTCCTCAAATAAACATGCAGGAATAAAACCCACAACTCACATTAACATGTTGGGGGAAACGTCAGAAGGTGAACATAGAACTGAATCACGGGAAACATGACAACATGTTATTACATCTCTCATACTTGCTATATATAGCAAGTTAAAAACAATAACACACAATAAACAAAGATATCACCTAATTGTCATCTAACAAAACAAATAGTTAAAATATAAGTTAGATGACTATGTCAGCTTTAGGTGCTTCATTGTAGACCAGACATTTGATAGTACAAACAACGAGTATGAATTCCAAAATTGATCCTAGAAGCCCAAGCTTAAAAAAATAATTTAATTAAACCAAACTGAAAACAGGAACCCAACACCAAATCCAACAGGGGTACGTAAGCATGATCATTCTAATCAACATCAAAGTCAAATCTTGGCTATGAAATGTAAAAATACACATTATCTAGACTCAAACAAATGATACACTATGCTGCATGGTTAGTTGAGGTCATGTTAACAATTGTTTGGAAACAAGTTGAAAGAGAGGAAGAGGTACCTAAGTGAAGCAGTTAAAGAGCTTCCTACGAAAGTTGGGTCTGCATAGTTAGCAGTGAGGTTATGATGCATAATTAGCAGAAGAGCCATTGTAGTTTAGTGGGTTTCGTGTGTGTGGCATGAACTGGAGATTCTTATCCACACATATTTATCGTAATGAGATTTCGGGACAGTTTTTTGAGGCTGACATAAGAAAAAGACAAATACATGGGAAGATCACTAGGGGAGTGGATTAGGCCACGCCAGCATTTCATTCGCAGGATCATAATTTACCACGTATTTTTTCTTCATCAGAAATACAACCTTAGGCTTTCGGAAATTTTCATTTCAAAATTGCACTTTATTACTTTATTCATCATTTATTTGCTAATAATATCTTGTGATTGAAAACAAGCTTGACCCTTTTTATGTTGATTCATAATATCTTGCGATCTTGAAAGAGATTTTTTAACTCTCTGATTAATAATATCAGGCCCTTTTCTTCGATTTTACCATAGATGACCAAATTAAAATGTTCTAAGATTGTACACACGTTTTTATATTAATAGCACTCGTCAATTTAGCGCTTTATGATATTTAATAAATTAACTTTTTATTTTCTTTTAATTTAATTTATTTCACTTTTATTTTAATCACACTTTTTCATTGTTGTTTTTATATTCTGTGCATTTTTTTTAATTATTGAATACTTTTATACTGTTTCATTTTGTCACATTAAATGTTTAATCATCAATTGTCAGAGCAAATTACAACACAATCGTCACTTACAATCTTGGTTATGCACCAAAAGTAATCGACAAAACACAAGTGGGGGTTCTCACACTTAAATGGACTAGAAAAATCAAATATGTTTAATTCACTCCTTAATATTGACACCACCATATAATTTAGTTTCTGGTATTATAAAAAGGTAAATTTAGCTTATATTTTTTTAAAATAATGAATTAATTTGTATGTTCAATAGTACACAATAAAAATATTATTATATTTTTATTAAAATTATAATATTTGATTTTATTAAAAATTTGTGATATTCTTATTTTTTATAAATATTTATTATATACACATATTTTACTATGCATTTTTAGACATATGCGTTAAAAAATATATTACTAACACTATTAACATTATTGTACACGTGTTATTATAGATAAATATATCGTTGAGTAATAGATTAATTGAGAAATATTATTTTAACTAAACTGTTCTCTTGAGTAAAACTTTAAAAGGTTGATTAATTTTTTTTCAATATTTGTCAAGACTCTTCTCAATTAAAATTTTAAAAAATCATTAAATTTTTAATTATACAATCGTAAAGTGATAATCAAACTGAATCAATAAAAATATTACTCATAAACTATAAAATAAATTATTAAAATAAAAAAAAATATCAAACTTGAAAAAAAAATCTTATAACGGTATGGTTAATTATCTTCAATTAGAATAAATGTAGAGTCACATGAGAAAAAAAGTAAAAAAATAAAAATATTAAAATAAATGAGTAGTCACAAAATATATATATATATATAATAAAAAAATTGTGTATACAATAGTACAATGTAATTAAAATTATTAGTAAGAAAAAATATTGATGATTTTTTTAATATAATATTCAGACAGAGATTTAAAAGAATTTTAAAAAATTAATAATAAATAATATTTATGTGAATTTATTTTTTAACTAACTTAAAAACACGTAATTCATGTAGCTTAGTTCACTTGTATGGATGTAGTTTGATTATTATTATTTTTTCATTATTATTGTGTTGAAATGCACGTTTTATTTCAATAATTTTAATAAATTATATTTAATAATTCTTTATTGTGTTTAGTGAATAAATTATTTTTAAAAATAAGTAAATAATAGTGGTTTTTTTTTTTTTACATGTTCAGGTAATATAACTATATTAAAATTGGGTAAGAAAAATTTTACTATCTTTTTTTTTTCCGTGAAAATTTTACTGCCTTGAGTGTTTTGGTTTTCGGTCAATACTACCTTTGGTGGTTATATCTGGCTTGAACCCGAATTGGTTGGGTTAAACCCAAAAACAAAGAAGAGGCACTGATGCAAAGCCCAACAACGAAAAGGGAAATTGCAGAAAGCCCAAGAATTTTGCAATATAGTATTTTGTTTCCATCAAACTGAACCTGAACCTGAACCTCATCTTTGTTTTGTTACAACCTCGTAGTCGTCATAGTCACCTGTGATTTGTACGTTATAAATAAGATGATATTGAAGGTGTGGAACTGGTACCAGAATTGCCTTTCTCTTCATCCAGTGAAGACCCAAGTCATTAGTTCTGCCATTCTCTGGGGTGTTGGAGACCTCACTGCTCAGTACATTACTCACTCTGCTACAAAAAAACGACTTCAACTATCTGTAACTGTAAGCCCAATTCCTTTTCATCTTCCATTGCCTTTTCTGAATAAGGATTAAGGCTTTCTCTTTCTAATCAGTGCAAATTACTCATTTTTGGTGGTTTCACCAATTTGCCTTGTTGGGAATTTTTTGGTTTATTATAATTTATTGACTATATATATGGATAAGGTTTCTTGGCAATCTAAAATTTTGTATTGGTGTGGTAGGATTCAGATGCTAAATTTAAGATCAACTGGAACCGCTTGGCTGTTACAAGCTTTTTTGGATTTGGTTTTGTTGGACCAGTGGGCCACTTCTGGTATGTGAATCCAATATATTTCACCAGTAAAGAAATTCTTCAATACCATGTCAATGAGATAGATTTTAATTTGCAAACTAATGGAACAAGTATGATTTTTTTTATATTACAGCATGAGATATGTGCTAGTGGACTTTGACTTGATTGTTCTGCATTAAGTGCATCAGGTTTTGGAGATTCCTTTGTCTGTGAATTTTATGCTTTTAGTTGGTAGGTCCTTAGAATGGGGGAACCACTTTGAGCCTGGATTCCAGTTTGCCTAAAATGTTGGTTTCATAACTGCTGTCAAGACCTTTTGAATCATGAATATTACATGGGAAATTTTTACTAGAACACCTGAGGGCCTGATAGATTATGAAGTGAATTAAAAGGATCCTAACATATAAACAAGCGGGTATGTATCAATGACAGATACCTAAGTATATCATTTTGAACGATTTGCTAGCCATATCATGCCAGCAACTATGTTCCTACTTTTCTCATTTGTAAATGCACACCAGAATGCACTTGAACCTTGTAGATTTCCCTTAGTTATGTAGAGAGAAGATCTTTGTTATTAAGAAAGTGATATCGTTAGCTATTAGGTCCCATGTAAGCATTGCCCTCGTTAACTCTGTAGGATCTTTTAGCTTCAAATGGATACGTAACTTTTATTCCGAGGTGGTTGTAATTTCAGAACACTTTTGGCGGGATATGCACTAAGATAGCTTGCAAGTTTACTGCTTATGGTTTTTAAGATTGAAAAGTATGACTTTCATTTGACTAAAAAGCTTAAAGAATAATTCTTCTGAAAATAATTATGGGCAAAGTTATAATTCCTACTTCTAAAGGATTTGAATTCACATGAAACCAACCTTTTCATGTCATGCAGGTATGAAGGCTTGGACAAATTTATAAGGCTTAAACTTCAACTAATGCCGAAGTCTGCGCGATCCGTATCCACTAAAGTGGCAATGGATGGCATAATTTTTGGTCCCTTCCATTTGTTTGTGTTCTTTACTTACATGGGATTGTGTGCTGGCAAGACGCTTCCTCAGGTAAAGGAAGACTTGAAGAGGAATTATGTCCCAGCCTTGATTTTAGAAGGTGGAGTGTGGCCAGTTGTGCAGGTTTTTAATTTTTGGTATGTTCCTGTGAAGTACCAACTTCTTTATGTAAACTTGTTCTGCTTGCTGGATAGTGCTTTTCTGTCATGGTTAGAGCAACAGAAGGATGCACCTTGGAAACAATGGTTTGCATCATTTCATTCTACGAATGAAAAAGGAGGTCAATGCTGATGAGGAGATTGATGGAATACGAAATGTTGATTGATTAAAGCTTTTGAATGTTTTGTAAGATGTAATAGATAGATTCCGAGGTAGACATTTTGCTTTGTTTATTTTCCCCCAGCCCCCTAAAATTTCCCGCACCCTTAATGATACTAGAAAAATGGTTACCAAAAAAGGTTTTAAGGCCATTGTTGAATAGACTGTAGTTATGTAAGAGAAATAATGTAGAAAATCATTTAGTCATCATACATTTCGAAATAATTCATTTTGAATAAGGTATTAGAACTTCTATGTCTGTCAATCTTTGGATTTTTTAAAAAATAAATCAAACAATATGAATATTAAGGGTATGTTTGATTTCTATTTTAAAAACAGAAAACTGTTTTTAAAAATAAAATATAATACAAATTTGTATTGAATTTTATTTTTAAAAACAGAAACACTCTCTAAAAGTGTCGAGCAAAATTCCTAATGTGTATAGCACTGTATAATTTTGATATCAAGCCCAAATGTGTCAGCCCTGTGTCGGTGGTTGCAATGTCCTCGTTAATTAGGTGAGCAATGATTTGTCGAAGAGATCAGCACATAAATTGCATTTATTGTTTTACTTGGTAAGACACATAGTTGGAAAAGGTTGGAACAGTTGATACATTAATATCACATGCATTGGAATAGGCTATAGTTAGAACACAAAGTTGAGGACGCACCGCCGAATGATGCTCTCCTGATCAGGTAGGTGTTTCATAGCAGTGATTGTTTAGAATCTGGGGCTCTCCTGAATTTTGTCTTTCTGCGTCACCATGTAACCATAAAAGCATATTCAATGTGGTATAGAACAGTGATCATGAGTGCGGTGTAGTTTCGTAAGCTTTTGACTTTCGATGAATCAAAAGAAAGTACAAATTGCATCACCGAAGAAAAATATTGTGTTCTTTTCACTTCAATAACCTGTCCTCAACAGCGACCAAGGATTATATGTTCCATGCTCTTCCTCTTTGAGACTCGAGATATATAAAGAAGTCTTTTTTATAAAAACTTATCAATCCGTTTTTATTCATAAATGAAAAAAATTAAAAACTAATTTTGACGCTCCAAATTATTTGAGTTGAGATATGCTTCACTTAACACCCCCCCCCCCCCCAAATTATTTTAGAAAATTTTAAATTTTTCTGTTAATTTTAGAAGATCATAATTTACTTTTTTACGGAGTAAGTGTTAAGACTGAAACCAAAACTTCGGTTCAACCAAATCGTAATATGTGTTTGTTTATTTAGATCAGAGATTAAACGTGTGACAGAATGCTTATGAAGAAAAGAAAAATACTTGGAAGACATAATTGACATTCTTTTATTAATTTTATTTCCGGTTTAATTTCACCTTATGCAAGTTATTGAATTAATATATATATATATATATATATATATATGAAATTTTTTCTTCAGTTATTTACTCATTCAATTGTACTGAATAAAATATATTTCGACAATGAAAGTATTAATTGGAATAAAATTCAACCTATAAACAGTGGTAGTAATTCATTAACTATGAATTATACCATCCTTTTATTTGGTAAAGAAGAATGCTAATTAAGAACCTGTTGTATGCACTATATATCAATTGGTATTATTGGGTTCCTACTTGTTTCACAATGTCGCATCTTGTTTAGCATAGTCGTTATAGCAATTCTATTTCCAGTATTTAGAAAATGAGTTCTGAAAAATAAAAAGTGTTATTAGAATGCATATAGTAATATATATTTTTTCTCCAAAATATAATTTTTGTTTCCCGTTAAAGCCTAGCCTATCAGAGACGTTGCTTTTAATATTTTCATGACAGTCCTTGAGGTGAAAAAAGAAGAACCCTATCGTCATTACTTAAAACAAATGTATTTTTTTTCCTGAGACAAGCCCCTCTTGTTATGTTACGTGTTTGTGACTGTCTGTCCTTCACTCAAATTATATGAAGCAAAACCGACACTTGTGGAACTAAAATCATGGAATGAAAATGAAGCGTGTAATGGATGATTGTGTATTTGTATTTCTACATTAAAAAAAATTGTGCAATAAAGAAGATAGAAAGACGAGAAGAAAAGGTATATTATTTTTCTACAAGAAGTGTATTTTTTATTTTATATTATTTATACGAATGGATTTGAAAAAAGAATACTAAAGAACAGATAGTAGTTTGTTAGTAGTTGAAAAATAAGGATGCTTGGAGGGGAAAGGGCGCATTTTGGCACCTGATTTGGATGATCCTTTACTTGTTAGTGTTTGGCTTTAAATCGGAAAATAACAATGTATTTTGCAGTGACGTGAGGAACGCTCTCTTCTCTGCAACTAACCCAATGCTCTCCTCCCTCCATAACTAATCAGAAACAAAAAATATGGACGGCAACGACGAAGAATCAGAAAGCGCTGCATCTACTGGCCTCAACAGATTCACTTTCCTCTGTGCTCTCCTGGCTTCAACAACCTCCATCCTCCTCGGCTATGGTGAGTTCATTTCATTTCCTTTTTGGCAGACAAAATTCAAATAATCTGAGTTAGGAATTATGACACAATGGACGCAGATATCGGGGTGATGAGTGGAGCGGCGATGTTGATAAGGGAGAATCTGAAACTATCATGGCTTCAAGAGGAAGTGTTAGTGGGAACCCTTAACTTCTTCTCTCTAATTGGATCACTGGCCACAGGCAAGACCTCTGATTGGATTGGAAGGCGTTACACAATTGTGTTAGCAGCAGCAACATTCTTAGTGGGAGCACTTTTCATGGCTCTTTCACCCTCCTTCCCATTCATCTTAGCCGGTCGAATGCTCGCTGGAATTGCCGTCGGTTATGCTCTCATCATTGCGCCTCTTTACACAGCAGAACTTTCCCCCACCATGACACGTGGCTTCCTCACATCCCTCCCCGAAGTCTTCATCACCCTCGGCATCCTCCTTGGGTACATAATTAACTACGCTCTAACGAGTTGGAGACTCATGCTTGGCCTTGCAGCCATTCCCGCAATCGCCATTGCCTTCGCTGCCATCGCAATGCCGGAGTCTCCTCGGTGGTTGCTTTTCAAAGGAAGAGTCGCTGATGCAAGACGGGTTCTCCTCTCTATCTCAAACAGTCCCGGGGAAGCCCAATTAAGGCTTCAGGAAATAACTAATGCTCTATCCACCGGCCCAAATTCCCATGCCCGCCCTGTTTGGAAAGAGTTATTGGTACGGCCCACTCGGCCCATTAGGCACATGTTGGTTTCTGCCATGGGGATTAACTTCTTCATGCAAGCCTCTGGGAACGACGCTGTTATATATTACTGCCCAGAGGTCTTCAAGGCTGTTGGAATTCACAACAAGAAACACCTTTTCGGGGTTAATGTTATTATGGGCCTGGCCAAGAGTTCCTTTGTTTTGGTCTCTGCTCTCTACTTGGACAGGTTTGGAAGACGCCCTCTTTTGTTGTTGGGCTCGTTTGGCATGGCGGTCTCCTTGTGTGGATTGGGCCTGGCCTCCAAGATTTTAGAGGCGTCCACCCGGAGGCCTCTGTGGGCTGTTGTGTTGAGCATTGTGGCCGTGTGCGCTGATGTTTCTTTCTTTTCTATTGGGCTTGGGCCCATCACGTGGGTCTACTCGTCCGAGATATTTCCGACCAGGCTTCGGGCCCAAGGTTCGAGCCTTGCGATTTCGGTGAACCGGTTGGTGAGTGGGGTGGTGTCCATGACGTTCTTGACCATTTCAGAGAAGATAACGTTTGGAGGAATGTTCTTTGTGTTGGGTGGGATCATGGTGGTGGCTACAGCTTTCTTTTACGTATTTCTGCCGGAGACCAAAGGCAAGACCTTGGAAGAAATGGAAACTCTCTTTGAGGGTAGTAATGGTGACAAAGAGAGTCATGATAGGAGGACGGAAATACAAGTTGTTTAGGAAGAGGAAGGCGTTGCATAATTCGGGTATGTGTTATTGTGCTCTCTTTTGCCTTTGTCCTTATGGTTTGGTCACATATTTTATCTTAATCGCAATTGCATACCTGATCATATATGAATTTAGTTATATTCATAAGATAACATATTTATAAATTGTAAGTTTCGTTTAAAATAAGTTTAAAAAATTCGGTAAATAAATTCACCAAAGCATATCACAAGAAGAGACTTCGTGTTTGCTCTCATATATGGTCATGGATTCAAGGTTACTTTAACGCTACTAACTTTTGCGTTGAATAGATGTTTACTAATTTTTGCAGATGACCCGTGCCACTAAGTTACAAACTTCGATATTCCTACGTAGCTAAAAGGAAAGAGGGAGTGATGCATGATGGTGGGTCTGGGGGAAATTAAATGACTCTCAACAATCAGAGAAGAACGTGAAGCTTCTTTGATTCGGGAGAAATTCTCAGGACTTCCATTCAGAAATCATGGTGGACTCCCCATGGATTTTGTGGTCCCAAATGGACCAGCACCCTCGACTTATTTACGAATTTCTACCGTTCAATGATAATAATAAATTATATATAAAAAAAAGGCTTGAATTGGGTACTCTGCTCCTCACAGAACATGCGGGTTGACATTAATCAAAGTCGGGTGGCAAACACAGTACGAAATTCATGTTCCCAGTGATCATTTTTTACGTTATGCGGTTTCTCGCTTGCTTGCGGGTTATAATTCAAAACTAAACATATAGTATACTCTTTTGTATGATGAAGCATCACTGTCCAAACTTTTTCTCGCTGGTGTCATCTTGGTTCAATGCCCTTGTCTGATTCTGCAAGAGTATTCTGTTTGATGCCAAGTTAACGTTGAGAATTTGAAATACTGACCTAATCTCTTGTACAAATATACAACGTGTTGTGCCAATCTTGGTAGTACATGTGGGATTTGAAGAATTATACAACGTGTTATGTATGTATAGCCAATATAAGGGACAATCTCAAGAAATTGTGCATAAAAAGAAGAATAAAAAAAGAGATCAGGACCATACGTCATGATCCAAATGTCAAACACTTACACCTCCCCATGCTTTCATTGACAAACTATAAGCTAACAAAAATGGGGTTCGGACCCTTTTATATAATCATAAGCAGGGCAAATCAGAGCAACAGGGTGTCAAGAAATCCATGTAATTGTAATAGTTTCTTCTTGTCATTAACTTCATGTGAATTTGAAAAGCTGACCCTGACTATCCCATACTGTCCGTTACCCCTTGGTGGGGCATTTCAAGTAAAGGGTTTGAGCTTCTCTCTTCCATGTGTCTTTATGTGTTTGGAAGCTTCCAAGACTTTAAGATGCTCTTGGGAGAGAGGAAGTGCCTTGACCTTATGATTCCAATAACTTTTTATGGTGCTCATGTTTAAACAAAATAAAGGCGAATTTAAGGGTAATAGAAGGGGTTTGGCTTTACTTTTGCTCCCTCTCCTCCTAGATGAACAAATAGTACTCATTAAGATTCAATTTCTTGGTCTAGCCAAAGACTTCAAACCTCTAATCTTGTCTTCTAACTACCGGACGAGTCGAGCAAGACGCGAGCATGTTGACAAAAATGCTTAATAATATTTACATTTAGATGGGAACATTGAAAAGGTGACAATAATACCTTTGTCTACCCACGTATCTCAAATATCGAAAATTAAATTTTCACTATTCTCTCTCTCTCTCTCTTTCTCTCTCTCTCTCTCTCTCTCTCTCTCTCTCTCTCTGAAACATGCACTATCAGCTTTTGTAGCTTTCTAAATTAGAGAACTGAGAAAATATACTGGGAGCCCCCACCGCCTTCTTACCTCCTTTCAAATCCAATATAAATAAATAAATAAAAGAAGGGTCAAAATCAACCGGGAAAATAATAGATGATGGGATAGGTTGATTGGTCTCTAGCTAGTCCATATTTTATTGAAACCCATTTTCATGGTTTAGGGTTAATGGCATGTACTGGGAACAGTTATTGAAATATGCAGATATCTGAAATGGAAACTGCTTACCATTTTGATTCAAATGATTTGGTCAAGAGTCACTATTTAACAATTGGTTCTATTTCTATAGGATGCTCAGTTCCCTCAGTTGAATGCTATAAATATAGGTACTAGGTTGTATTGGTTAATGACCCGTGAGATCCTTTCTTCTATTTCTACATGTAAGCTCTGAGCAATTACGCATAATTGTATTTCCCTTCATGAAAAGCATATTCTGAAGGTAGTTGAGCTTGCAAAAGAGCCCACTGCAAGAAATTAAATGGACAATCTCCTTTGCCAAATCCAATCTAATATTAATAAAATGAGATTATAAGAAACTTTTCTCTTCATTTACTGGGAGAGGGGAGACAATAATTTATTTAAAACTGTTATTATATTGTACCTATTGACGTGCATTATATCTAATCTCATGTGAATATATGCTTCTCCGTGACCTTCATTAATAAATAATAGTATTACACTAAAACTATTATACTGTGTGAACTGTGAACTGTGAGCAATCAACTCACTCTCCGTTGTCTTCATTAATAAATAATCATATGCTAAAACTAAAATAGGTGGACATGGATGTCATTGAAGAACTAATTTGCAATTTTGTTACTCTCACTTTGTTGCTGGCTAGGTGTGAACAAACAACTGAAAACTAATTAACGGGAAAGATTAATTGAAATGCTCTTCAATGCTTCCTGATTTGAGTTTGTATTAAGGAAGAGGAAAACAATATAATTTTGGTTTCAGTCATTATATGTACTTTCCACGCATAAAGAATAAAATACTAAAAGAGGAGGAGGATAATGCTTAGTTTGTTTCAAAGTAAATCTTTTATATTATACTATCAACCTTTCACGGGACTATATGTAGAAGAAATCAAGTTTAGGTAAAGATTCTTCAACTGTTATTGAAAAGGCTATGCTAATAATGTAGCACTTCGTTTTGTTTTAATTTATTTTATCTTTCTTTTTGTGTATTACTAGGAGATACTAGCTCTCAGTCTCTAATATTTGAATTTCAAACATCATTAAGCGCCTTGAAATATGTATATATATATTTAACGTCCTTGATTCTGGTCCCCTACCACCACATATGTCCTAGAGCAAACACATGCTGCAGTTTTTGGGTATTTTACCTAGTACAATTAGTCAATTACTATAATAATAGCAAATCAATTTCAATAATTTAACTCCATGTACAAGGAGTAAGTTTTCCTTACTTCTAATAAGGTCAATATTACCTAAACTTCGAAAAATGCTTGGCTCCCTACATCAAAAAAGAAAAAGAAAAAGAAAATGCTTGGTTCCCACTCAACATCTAAAGGGAAGGGGAAAATTTAATTTAAAAAAAAAAAAGAGAAGCAGCTTCGGCATACTAAAAAGCATTGTGAATCTTCTTCATGGGGTGATCCGAAACTGTGCAAAATGATCTTTTTTTACTTGTGAACAAGTGGGAATTATGCTTGTCCAGTAAGCCTACCCATGCCCTTGTGTTGGTACTTGTCCAGGAAGCTATAAACTTTTCAGAGTTTCACTCACACCCAGTAGTTGAAGTGAGAGCTGAAATTAAAAGGCAAAGTGTAAAAATTACTCCCAACATATTTGAATTCTCCTATACGCCTCCAAATATGTGTTTAAAATTTTATTAAGAGAGAAGAAAAATTAATTTTAATGTTTTTTATACTTTGAAAGAAATTAGTCAGCAATTATTAGTTGAGGGCTTCATTTGGAAAACACAAAAATTATTTATATTGCCTCCACAACTTAAAATTCTGGGACTTACCACTTTCTTAATGAGTTAATTGTTTAAACTTAAACTCAACTCAATTAAGAAAATAATATATTAACCTGACTTAGTTAACTGAATTTGTTGATATAACACGTCAATCTTAACACTATATATATAACTAAATTATAAATATTTTAAAAAAGTATAAAATTATTTAAGACATGTTTTAGAGTATATATTTCAAAATAAATAACATTAATATTAATATAATGTTATATTATATCATGTAAAGTTAAAGTTTTCCTATCAATGTATAATAATTAAAAAGTATACATTTTTAAAAAATATATAAAACACTAACTTCAGTTAAGTTATTTAACTCAAATATACTTTTAAAACGTGTCAAAACTACTTTTTAAAACTTTAAAATTTGGCAAAATTGACTTCAAAGCGGTAAAATCAGTGGAACAGGACAAGTCATCGACACCTCAGGTAATAATTTAGACCTCAAGCAGTTGAAATGATAAAATCATCAGAGATTGACACTGCTAAAAACAAAAGAAAAAATTTAGGAGAAAAAAATTAGACAAAATTTTTAAATTTTGTTAATTTTTACATTATGTATTTATAATTTTTTATTTTCTTTCGTAAACCAAACATATACAGGGAAAGTGTGGACAAGTTTTAACGTATAAAATAAAATCCAGTGGAAACGCAGCAAGCAAATTAAATTACAAAATAGAACACACAAGGCTGTAGATTGTGCATACAGCACTGCAACTTTATATTTTTAAAAGAAGAAAAAGGTAAACCGGTTGGCTAATTTAAAAGTTCTAAGGTCAATTACTACTGTTACAAGTGTTTACTAAACTAAACTGAAATTCTCTCATTGATGCATTCACTGCACATTCAGGACAGAGAAGAGGACGAGAAAAAACAGCATAAAGTTGAATCAGAACCCGTTATTTTATTTATTTATTTATTTATTTTTCCATAGTTTCAAATCATTATTAATAGGACTTCTACTTTCGGTTTCTCATGCATTTATAACCCTCCCTTCCCGTTATCCTCCCTCAAAATCCTCTCTCTCTTCTCTCCAATACCGCTCTCTGTACTAACTCACTCTCTCCCATGGAAAACCACAACAAACTCAAAATGCGAATCTCTCGCATGTTCCGGTCCTCATTCGGTTCGTGTAGAACCCGTAACATAACAGATGTAATGGAAAAAGCGGTGTTTGCACCACCCAACCATGGTGGCTTCCACCTGATCGAACCACCCTCTCCAAAAACTCGACCCTTTCCCCCCATTTGTAGGCCCAAAGGGCCCAAAACCGTCGACGACACTTGCATCGTGTCGTTTAAGGATTCTCTCCCCAGACGTAAAATCTCCGAGTGGTCCTCACCCTTTGTCTGGGGTACCAACGGCAACGTTAACCTCGGTGGCATGTCGTGTCCCCCCACTTCACCAAACACCTCGCTCAACCCAATCCACCATCACGATTTCGCTTTCCACGATAAAACAAAGGGTTCAAGAAAAAACGTGAAGACCAAGAAGAAAAAGAAGAAGAAGAAAACGAGGCATGCGCAGAAGAAAAGGGAGATTTTCCCTTTTAATTCTTGCGCTAAAGACACCAACTTTGGTGGTTATTGGTGGTATAGCAGCGACGAAGAAGATGAAACGGACACCCTTTTCTCATCCAAGAGCCTCTCTTCTGATTCCTCAAGGTCTCGCCGCCGGCGCCGGGAAAATGACCGGAGCTCGGACATGGGTGTTCTTCCGTTGCACGGGAAGGTGAAGGACACGTTCGCTGTGGTAAAGCGCTCGAGTGATCCTTACAATGACTTTAGGACGTCGATGGTGGAGATGATCGTTGAGAAACAGATATTTTCGCCGGGGGATTTGGAGAATCTGTTGCAGTGTTTTCTGTCTCTGAATTCGTATCATCATCATAAGATCATTGTTCAAGTCTTCACCGAGATTTGGGAAGCTCTGTTCTCCGACTGGTTTTGATATATAATTCTAGAGAGAGAGAGAAAAAATAAGAGGGAGAAAGAAAATAGCTATCTTATGTTCTTTCTCTCTGTTATTTTTATTTGTGTTAGTTTGTAAGGAAAATAGTTCAGTTCTTCTAACTTGGTTTGCATGTATGATATTCCATCTGCTACTCAATTAAGTTACTGAGTTAAAGTTTTACTTCTATTTTCACTGTGTTGGACATTTGTTCATTGTGAAACTGTAAGTGCTGTCCATTTTTTCTCATCTTTTGTTGTTATTGCTTTTGTTGAGGAATGGGTTGTTCTTATATATGGATATGCTGACAAGAAACTGTATTTGCAAGGTGGTGGTAAAATTGTGAAAAGACCTAAAAAGGGCACTTGTCTTGTTTTTGGGAGTGCCAGCCTTTTTATCCTTATGGAAAAGATTGTTCAATGGAAATGGGAAAGCAAAGATGTGTCCTCTTGGTTTGGACTTCTGAGACTGAAGCTCGAAAAAGATGACGATGGGATGCTTTTTTTTTATTTAAATGAGGGGAAGAAAGAGCTTGAAAACACAAAAGCTGTCTTACTCTCTCGTGTTGTTGAATTGCACCTTTTTTCTTTTCATTCGGATGCGCCAAAAGAATACAAAAAGACTAGCTAGCTTGTTTTCTAAAGTCCTTATCCAAAAAAACCAAGAGAAAAGGAAGAACAGATACTTGTTCCATTGAAATTAGGAGGTTGTCATTAGATAACTTACACATGTGATGAAAGGTCACGGAGTGAGATCCGCTTCATACTCTAATGTAATTAATTTTTAACTCGGAAGATAAAAGTGAGATCTGCATTGGATTAAGTTAACAAAATGTAGGTGGACTTCATCAACTTTTGACCACAATTTTTTTAAAACAAAACGTGGTTCTATCCTCTTTCTTTTACAGCAAAAGATATACCAACTTTACCCATTGCAATTAAAAAGGAATAGTTATTAAGTTCAAGCTAAAACTAAAGGGTAACTTCATATTTCCTCTAGATAATCGTTATTGTTTTATAAAGAAAGTATTAAATAAAAAATAATATATTTAAAATTTTAAAATCACAAAAAAATATTCTGTATTTTATAATTCAATTATTAAGATTATATTGAAGAAATATTTTAGAAAGTTTTGGAATTATTCTTTCTAAAATGACTTGTTAGAAATGAGGATTTGAGATATGTTTATTTTTATTTATGGTTTGAGCCTCTCCGCTTCTCCGTGTTTTGATTTTTTTTGTCGAAGCAAAAGAGGAGAAAAATAAGTCAGTGACTGATGCAATGCTGTCGACCGTATTTCTACAGGAATAATCTACAAATCTCCAGAGACAAAAGAGGTTTCACATGATGCAAATATTTCTCTGTTTGCATCTCTTATTTGAACTCATCCCTTTCAATTAAGAGTTATCAAGTTGGAGATCAAGATGCATACATGGCTGAACAACAATTTTATTTGTCTCTTTCTTAATGAGTTGCTCAAGGGCTAATATGAACAATTATTAGCCAGTAGCCGCGAAAACAATTGATTGAATTGTTTTCAAATGGGTATCTGTTTGGTCACACACACACACAAAAAAAAACATTTGTTCAATAATTTAGTAATAAGACTATGACCATGCTGGGGACAATATAATTTTGAAAATCAATTAAAACAGGCATCCAAACTTAATTAGAAAAAGGGGAACAACTACTTTGTTGTTTTTGTACGTGGTTGGCACACAAAAGAGACAAAATATATAATTATTTGGTATAAACATGTTTAGTTCGTATTATCGACCAAATTCATGTCCATCAATCAGTGTTCATTATATCTTTGAGCAAGAAAGAAGGGACAGAACAAACACACACATACACACCCTTAACATCAAACTTTGTCACAGACGGAGATCATGTCGTTCGTCTTCAGTGTATACTTGAAAATTCAGAGATCTTAAAATAATTGTCACAAGGAAGTATCTAGGACTGTTCATGTACATATATCAATGACAAGCAAAGATACGTTTGGGTCCTGATGGGACTATAGACTGCAGCTTCAACAAACTAATGGAAAGCAAGGGTAACAAAAATTAGAATTGAAATATAGATATATAGAAATGTAAAATAATTAAATTTCCTTGGCGACATCAGTTTTAAAATATTTAGAAAAAGAATAAAAAATATAGAAGAAAGAGAAAGGATTAGTCATGTGTTTGTCAGAGGGTGGATACGTACACATGCCATTCCATTATACTGCGATTTGAAGCTGAAAGATCAAATTGGGGGCGTAACGTCGGTGTCAAAAGAATGGGTGCTGCTTAAAAACTGAAATGAAAGAGAAGGCACCGTGGAATGAGAAAGTCTGGGGGAAAACTGTTACGAGGGTTTGCAGAAAGAATATAAAACCAAAACGTTTCTATCTTTCGATTAGTTGTGGGGACTGCATACCTACTCTACTTAATGGTATCATTACCCAATTACCCTGATGTGTCCGAGCTATGATAGCTATGTAACATATCACACACGAGAGAAAACAAAACAAAAAGAAAAGAGCAAGAGATGATTTGTTTTGTTTTCTTTCCATCTTATAAGCAGAGTGGGAGCAACGTTTTTATTTGTTTTGTGGCAATCTAGGATGTCACATTCATTTTGGTGACAGATTAAACAGCAATGGGCATAGGGGTGCATGTCCATTTGCCTCAAATGGAAAGCTGATTAAAGAATGTCTGCTAGTGGTGAATCCATTATGTCTTGGTTTGGTTGCCACTCCCATTAATGATCGCATTTTTTGGGTTCTTGAGCCCCAAATCTCCTTGTCAATGCACACAACCAAATATGTGCAATTAATTTTTGGCCGTAAAAAGGGCCAATTAATTAGCTGCATTGGGTGTCGGTTTCTGACCATGGGCCTCATCACTACATAATTGGGCTGTCCTACCTCTTTCTATGCTCTTTGTCGTTTAATCCCTAATGTTGCCTTTGGGCTACCTTCAGGATTGTCATTGTCTTATATAAAATGCTGTTAATTACTAGTTTAAATCGTCTGTATTAGAACAATATTTTCAATTTGTTCAAAAACAAATTTTCACATTTTAAATTTATCTTTTCTTGAGTTATCCGCCTATAACACCTTAACACATGCTCACTTAAGAAAACAAAAAATAGTCCATAACATGCTGTTAACTAGACAGTGATCAAATTTTTTTTAGGATATCATCAATTTCAAAAAGTTTCCTATCTTCCTTGGTTCTCAGCTCCCGCTTGTTGCCTCAAGGGATGTTAGATGACTTAGCGGTGTCTTTGTTTCTTGCAATTCATAGGTTTTGAACTTTTGATAGTTTGTTTGAATTATATTATCAATACAATAATGCCAAATGATTGAATTTTGTTGATGTAAGCTAGTTGCAATATATGCTTAGTTTTAAAACACGTACTATATACTAAGTTATTTATTACTCATGATTTAGTAGAATAGTGTTGGTTATAAAATTAACACAATTGGCATGAAATTTTGACTCTTTTGCAAAATATTTGTAATGACTATTTTAAAAAAAAAAGTTTAAATTTCATTGGTAAAATACGATGTGGTCCCTCATTTTTTGAAGCGTAGAGGGCTAGAGGCTCTGCAATCAGTGCTGTACTCGTGTAATGTTGATACAATTGAGCAATCTTCAAAGCAATGAGTACCAAATAGCAAGCTGTAAAGGTGGTAGCCAAAAGGGACTTTTGGGGTGAAACATAATTTTCAAGGAATTTAAAATATATATATATATATATATATATATATTTATATGTATGAAAATGAAAAATAAGAGAAGTTTAAAAATTTGAAGTTCTGAGGGCTGTCACTTCCCCACTCTCCATTCACCGTATTTCGCTCCTCAAGCGTGCCTCCCTGTGTAAGGCAGAAAAAACATTAAAAAAGAAAATTGCTCAGACAGCGTTCTATACGTACATTTACTCTCAAACAAAATGACAAATGGGATGTGACCAAAAGACACACACTGTCTTTGGCTTCAACAAGTAATTGCCTCTGCACCCATTTTATGCTGTTACGTGCGAAGGGGTTTTTACCTGTGTAAACACAAGATTTAATTCTGATCTAATGTCTTACACTGTCGTAAGTTCTACCACCATAAATTATAAAAGGATTAAAGCATGAATATTCATTCATAAACTGTTAATTAACATTCTCATCTTTATTTTCTCGAACGCAGATGAGTTCCAACCTCTAGAGATTAGAGAAAAAGATATCCACTGCCATTTTCCATTCATCACCAAGACTAAATATTCTTATATAAATACAAACTGAACGTGCAACCAATCAAAAAATTACAACCTATTCAAGGCAAATTTCGAGTGCCCACATACATATACACAGTTATCTTTGTATTCACTGTTTGTTTGATGTTGTTTCTACGATATTAACAAGAAAGATTGGATTTCGTGCATTTATAATATCCTCTATTATTTCTATTTGTCTTTTCATACTAACAAGAGAAAGTTGATACTAACATGTCTGCCGAAAATTATTAGGGCCTCATGTTTGAGTTGCTTTGAGAATTGCAAGTAGATTTTTTTTATATACTTCAGTATCCTCCACTCCAGGTCATCCTATTTAGATTATTTGAAACATAATAAAATAGAATAGTAAATGTAATAAGTCTTATTATTATTATTAAATAGTATATTCGTAATTTTATTTTATTTAATTCTACATTTTATGTGATTTTATTCCGTTCACTTCATAATTAAATATCTAAACACAGATTAATTAAAATAACCCACTGATCATATCTAAATAATCTGAAAGATATATGTACTGCACTGCAACGGATACGTATATTAGCTTGACAGAGAAAAGTTTTGAGGCTTCAACTTCTGCAGGACAACGCGCATAGATAGCTATGAATAGAAATTAGAGAGGACAACTAATACATTTATTTTTCAATGACGGTTATAAAAGGCATAACAAAACTGAGTAAAAACTTATCATTTACATTAACACATAAGCAAGTAATTCATTTTTTTATTAATTAATGAGAACATTTACTAAAAGAAATTCCATACCTTATCATAATATATAAAGATGTCTCTTGTAAGTGACATAAGTATTTATGCTTATAAAGAATTTATTTTAATATATATTCAAGGATACATGATAAAACATTTGCTTTTAATTTCTTAACAAGTATTTTTAAACACATTAAAAATTGTAATAAAAAAATATGCTAAGTATTCTTTTTGTTTTTATTTTTATTTTACATTTTATTCATCTTTATTACTTTACAAAATTAATATTTATTTAGTAAAGGATTATAGTTAAGCAAAATATTAATTAATATTACCTTTATTTTCAATTATCAAATCAAAGAAAAAAGCATTTTTATTTATGTGTTTATGTAAAAGCTTAAGACAATATTAAATACTGTGTTTCATTAATATATTTTTTATTTATATAAAGTATTTGTACTATTTAATTTATTTAATTAAGCATAAAAATAGACATATTTATAAAAGAGAAATTAATAAATATATTAAATAATTTTAATAAAATGATTAAAAAAATTTTAATGTGTGTAATTTCTCTCTCTTTCTTTGAATAGATAAATAAGAACATAGATAACATAATAAATAAAAGGTATAGTCGAAAGTTAAATAATAATATTTTAAAAAATTTATTATATCAATCATTTTCTTAATTCTTATATATAAAATGTTAAATCAAAGAAAAATAAAAACACAAAATTAACCCTGCAACAAAATAACATGCCATGGGTTTCATAGCTTCTCATGATTTCTGCGGATTAAACTTATGCCTAACAAAGGGTAATTGTATGTACTGAGGAGTGTTTCTTACGAGCAATGGACACCCTAATTTTTCTGATTTGGAAGGGCCTAGGTGATAGGTGCTATTTTTTAATTCGAAATTTCTCGATATATTTTTATTTAAGATAACTAAGTGGATAATTGGAGTTAGAAATTTATGATTAGCTTATTTAAGTCTTTTCATTCTTGTATTTGTATTAAATTTTTGACAAAAAAAAAATATATAAAAAATAGATCTCCTATAGTTCTATTTTTGTTTAAAAGAATTTAGATTAGCTTAAATAAAAATAAGCTGAAAGAAAAAGATATTTTTTTATCTCTCGTTTTTTTGGCTTACTCTCTTTCACTCACTCACTCAGCCCTCCTCCTCCTCTTCTTTTTTTTCTTTTTTCCTTCTGACTCAGTTCCTTTTTTTTTTTCAGCTTTCTCATCACTTCTTCTTTCAGTCTTTTTTCTCTCTCTTCATCTAGCTCTCCTCTCTTTCACCTCCACTCATTCCCCTCTTCTTCTCTCTTCATTTAGTCATTTTTTCTTCTCTCTGTTAATCTTTTCTCGCTCTCTCTCTTCCTTATGCTCTCGTCCCGATTTCTCTTTCTCTCTTCTTCTTTACTCTTTTTGGCTTAAGCTAAATTTGCTTAAGTAAATTTTTTTTAACTTAAACCAAAATTACTTTTTGCCAAATTCGCTTAAGCGAGTGAGAAACTGTAGCCTGTAGTTTTCACCAAAACTAGAGGTAATCTGAATTCAAATATATGTTGGTTGTACTGATAAAATAGCATATCTTTGGATATTCTTTTTATATATGGGTTATAATAATGATCATCAATACTAATTTTTTAGTGGTTTAAATAGAGAAATTGAAATTTTTTAACGTCTTTAATTATCATGTATTTAAACTAATGCAACAATAACCTGTTAAAGTATTGACTAGTTTTTAACTAAACTTTGCAGCACAGTGATTTTGGCCGATCAATCATGAACGTGATGAGTGATCAGGAGAAAAGCTTTGATTAAATATAGAACAGAATTGTCGAAGAGAGACACAATTCAGCAACCACCCGCTCCTTTCATTCTATCAAAAGAGGTTACAGACCAACTCCACCATCAAAAGCAAAAGCAACGAAGAAACTCAAAAAAAGTTATTTGTAGTGGGAACAAACGAGTCACTATATCCCACTTAGTCAAATACGAGTGAGAAGCCAATTTTGGGTTTTGGAGGTTGTGGGGTCCCTTTAGGAAGCAGAAAGTAAACGAGGGTAACAAAGGAGCGTGTCAAGACAAAAGAGAACAATAAAGCAAAGGAAGCCAATGACAGAAAAGGGAATTCCATTGATCATTCAAAAGGAAAAGCTAAAGAATCTTTCATGGCTCCTCTTCTTTTGTCATCTGTATAAAGAAATCTTCACTCAGATCATTCATATCCAACAACAACAACCTCAAAAACACACGCATTTACACAGTTACTACATTCTGTTGTGTCCCTCATCTGCACCAAAGTACACAACATTTACGCAGGAAAATCAGCACTATCATTGTCATCACCAATGCTGCTACCGAGCTCCATTTCCAACACCATGAAGTTCTTGCAAAAGACTGTTGACAACTTCAAGTCTTGCTTCTCTCCACGTTACCAAAAGCTTCCCAAAACACCTCAACACAATCATTTCTCTTATTCTGTGGCTGCGGCTAGTGTCATGGACGTGCACAATAACCCATGTTATAAGGAGTTGGAGAAGTTCTACAGTGACTTCACCCAGCAATGGGATTCAGGAAAAGAGAGGGGAAAGCGAAGAAACAAGAAGAAAAGTGTGTTGCCATCACCAGCAAAGCAAAACGAGGAGGAGCAACATAATGGAAGTTTCATTAGCTTGAACAATGCAAAGGATCAGATGAAGAAAAGAGAGGAATGTGACAAGCAAAAGAATAAGAGGAGCTTAACCCATCAAAGGGGAAAACAGCAAGATTCATCATTGACTTCAATGAGAACAAAAGAAAATGGGAATTGTATGGTGCAAAAGAAGCTGAGAGAATTGGAGACGTTGGACATGAACAATGTAGATTATGTACTCGACATTGAAGAGGTTCTTCATTATTATTCTCGACTCTCTTGCCCGGTTTATCTTGAAATTGTGGATAAATTCTTAATGGAAATTTACTCAGAGTTCTTTGGTGATTCTGCTAGGCCTGTTACTACACCTCGTACTCTTAGTGTGAACTCTAGGCTGAAGCTGAGATCAGTGAGGTCCTAGCTAGGCTAATTGCCTTCTTAATTACTCTATCATTTAATGTTTCTTTAGATTATTCTCATTGTTTATTTAATTAATTAGCCCTGTGTTGTTCATGAATGGTAATGGCTGCTTCGTGTTTCTAAAAGTTAAATTTATTTTGTACAATTATTTGATTGATCAATCATCAATGGATCGAACAATTTGACATGCACTCAGGTATGAAAAATCAGAAGGCATTTTATTTGAATAATTGCCGAGTTACTAAAGGAAATAAAGATATATTTCAAGATTCTTTTTTGTGGATGGTTCGTTCTGAGATATAAAGGTGAAATAATGACGAAGACTTTTATTAGCTCAATCTGCGGAAATGGAAAGCATTTGAGTCCCTTCGAGGAAAGGGATAAGGCTTTTTGCTTTTGCATTCCTTTCCCTGACAATAAATATGTCCGGTTTTTAAATCAAAACATATTGGCAGCAAGTTGTATAATCCCCTGTTGTAAAAAAAAAAAGAATTCTTTTACACCCAAATACTTCAAAATAGAAGAGAAGATAGGAAGGAAACGAAAGATAAAAAGAACAAAAAATATGATAAGTATAGAAAGGGATCTACTGTAGCTCCACTTTCTACCCCTGAACTCTCAAGTCTCTCAGTATTTTGCTGTCGATCAGAACGGAAAAGGATTTACAGGCCCAAAAGCATAAGAGAATCTGATTAATAAAATCTCCAAGCCCAAAATGAAAAAAAAATTAAAATAAAATAAGTTAGTGCATGCTACAGTCCCTCCTTTTTGTTTGGGCAACATGCGTGCTACATTTTCTATTGTTTGGTGGAATGCTGGCCCATGAACACAATATCCATATAAAGCCCACGTGCATTTAATGGTATTCCCCAAAAAGTATTATCGATAAAGCCATGCATTTTATCAACAGCAGTTTCCTCTTTTCTCAAGAAAATCTTCTCCTTTTTAGTGGAATTTTTTCTTTTCATTATTGTTGAGCTTTTTATTCTCTTTGGTGAAAATTTTCTTCTACTCTTTTTTTTTCTTTTTCTTTTTTCATCTTCATTTTTATCGTTTCTTTCAATTTATTTATTTATTTATCTCCCACTTGAAGTGAACCAACATCACGTCCTCTCCTTCAAATTGCTAAGACTATCCACAATACTTTTAATGACTTGTTCTACTAGTCCGCTCAAATATGGTTATAATAGCAAAAGAAGATATTTATTTTTTCTAGCTGCACGAAGCTTTACTTTTGAGAACAAAAAATAAGTAAAAAATATTTAGTTTGCTTCTTTTATGTTTTTATTTTGTATATATTTTGAGCAAGCATGATATGTGTTTTTATAATTATTTTTTAAAATATTATACCATTCTAATTGGAGATTACGAGTTTTTAATATTTCATATAAATTTTGATTTCAATACTTATTGTAAATGTCGTTGTATATAATTTTAGATGAAAAAAAATTAATGTACACTTTACTTGAGTTTGAAAATGCTTGTTTATGTAATAAATCTTGTATGTGGCATTTTATTATGAACAATGCTATTTTAACACTGAAAATAGGTGTTTACAGTAGACACCAAAATATTTGAGTGTTAAAATATGTTTTTAAAATTATTTTATAATATCTTTTACTGTATTAGTATTATTTAAATAGTTTTATATATAAAATAATTTAAAACAAATATTTTAACACCCAAATATATTGAGTTTCCAGTGTCGACACTATTTTGGATGTTAAAATAACATTTATCATTTTATTATTGGCTTCAAGTCCCTCTATTGATTAAAGCCTATTCTCCCTCTTCAAGTGTAGAGATGATTTTGAATTGTTGTACTGCGGGAACCCATTTTCGTCCTTGGGCCATGATGTTAATAAATATCGCAGAAGCAACGCATGTGCTTTGGATATGTTCACATGGTTCAATTGCCATGAATAAAAGGAAAAAGAATGCACTCTGAGAAACGATGACTTTTAAGTACAACACTCTGTATGGTGGATCCCATTCCATCTTCCACATTCGGATCAAGAAATGAAAGGAAACCCAAGTCAGGAATCCAAGTGAAATACCCAACACCATTGATGATTTAGGACATTCAACACATAGTTTAACTAAACACTATTTAATAAATTTATTTATATAACTTATTTAGTCTATTTTATCAAGTTTAATGACTAAATTTACGAGTGTATTAGAAGTCCACCAGCATCCATTGATATCCCAAGAATAGGGATCGATGGGATCAATGTCACTTGGACTTCACTGAGTTGGAGTCTCCCCTTTCAGGCTGCAGTAAGGAAACAAGGTGGCCTTGCTTTCACTGCTGTGAGTGCCGTCTCTCTCAAATAGTCTGTTATGGTAAAATGGAAGAGTTATCAGTGAATAAAGGCGCATCTTTTTAGGAATATTATTGTTCTACTAGCTTGTAGATACAATCTAATTACCCTCTCTGTCAAATTGTCTTGTTCCTACTACACACGGTACTAAAATTTTAAATATATAAAATAATGAACAGTTTTCCATTCATTAATTGAACAGTTTTCTCTAGCCAGCTAGCTACCTTTCTTTCTTACAACAAAGCAATCAGAATAAAATGATGAGAAATTTAAGACACAATCTAAGGTACATAATATTGTAGGGTTGTCGATATTGAATGTCCGATGGGTCGACTCTGTAGTTTAACCCCATTCTCGAATGTTAGCTTTATTCTTGTCGATAAAATCTATTACAAATTGGTTTTAGTATTTTTTATTTTAAATTACAAACTGACATTTATTTTTATTTTAAAAGATTTATATAAAATTACAAACTGAAAATATTGATTGTTGATTAGATCTTATTTGGAGAATCAGGCACTGATTTGCCTGCTCTCTGCAGTAGCAAGTTTGGTTTGTCCTGGTGGAGTTGCTTATATGTAATTTTGTATCAGTGTGAGGAGTGACAATAACAATTGAAGGGTCCTTCTAGGTGAGGTAGACAGAAAGAGAGGTTTCACCAAAGTGGAAACTAAGTCCAACATCTTTGCTTGGATCAAGAACACGTGGAGAGAAGATCGGTATAAATGATTGAGCATTACAAGTTGCAATTGGTGGTCCAAGTAAACCTACCATCACCCTCCTCAAGAGAGAGATCCTCGAGTTTATATATTTGGCAAGTACACCAAATCGCAAAATAATAAAGCATCGGATACAACATCCTTCTCACAAATATTGGATTGCTAAAGTACCACTTTACTAATGCAACCATTATCAAGTCAACAAATTGATTTAAAGATTAATAATTTATAAAAAAAACAACTGAGGAAGTTAGGGAATAAATAAATTATTTACTTTTATATTATAATTTGAGTTATCATTCTTTATAATATGATAACATTTCTATATGTTCTCCTTCACACGTGTTCATCATTTTAGCACGTAGCATGCTTTAAGCTTTCATATTAAGTCAATGATAAACTTAGTAAAATAAATAAATGGACTCACTTCTGCCGTACAAGGGTGCTATAGTTTGTCTTAACCAGTTTTGTTTATTGCCTTGCGTTTAATTTCTCATGCTGTGAACGCATGAGCTCAATGTGACTCACGTGGGAAGTTGTCTTGTATATACGTACTTCGTAAAAGTTGTAGGAAGTTTTCTTACTTACCAAAATAAGCTCAATGTGAGTCACGTGGTAAAAGTTAAAATCAAACAAGAGAACAAGGATGTCTCATTACCATTAACTTGATCAGTTTTTACAAAATTCCAAAATTAATTCTTGCTTAGGCATAAAATGTGTTTAATTTGATATACATTAAAAATTCACTTAAATTAGATAATAAATGGTATCATTTTCATGATATACACTCAGATTCATGCTTAAACAAGCATAAGATGTGTGGATCTTGTACATGCATCACCTAATTAATTAATTGTATATTTAGTGATACTTTCTTACTTATAGTTACAGTTATAGTTACTCTTTGTAGCGTTCATGATAGACGCAAATTTAATTTTATAAAAATGTTGAATCATACATATGTTAAGTATACGTTGAAAAGTATATTGAAATATATATATATACAGAAATTACAATTAATAATATTAAAATAGACGTGAATATATGATAATTTAAATTTAAATAATAAAAAAAACTTTAATTCTTAGGAGCCTGTGACTAAGCTGTTTGCAAAACATCAGTGCTCCGTATGATAATATATAATCCTTTCTTCTGTTGTCTTCGTTCCTTTCCCCTCACTAATGCTTGATGACTCGTCATGCTTATGGTCATGCTCACGCTTGCCCGCACTTGAGCCTGCATGACTTGCCCTTTTCAAACGTAATAAAGTTGAGCACAAACAAAGATCGTTTCCATGCCAACCTTCTGCTCCATTGAGTTGTTTGGCATTTTTATGTATGCATAGAATCTGCAAATATCTCTTCATCTAACTAGGACCGCATCATTAATTTTCAATATTATTTTGCTTTTGTAATTGTGGATGAAATTGGACATCCTTTCCTAGATTTGGAACAACCCAGTTTTAGGGTCTAGTTATAGCTACGAGAATTAACAATGCTTATGTCTATAGTTACTTAAGCCGCCACACCTCTATCCCAAAAGAAACAATCATTGTATGTCACATCCATGAAAGTAACCTTTCGTCCCAAAGCTTCTCATTCTCCGTATTGCTAGGTGTCGGAATTCGACTTGTAATCCGCTGTCGACACTCATCTCTCACTTTCTTGGTCTTGTACATAATCATGCACACTAAATTTCAGATGGGCAATTTCTTTCATATATGGACCCTTCATCTTACCATTTTTGTGCAGTGGCTAGTGATCTTTACTTTATCCAAACTTTTAGCCTCTGTTTGGTAGAGTGGGAGAAAAGTAAGAAGGAAAAAAAATATTAAATTGAAGAAAAAATAACAAGACAAAATTCTTTTTATTTTTTTTAATTTTTGAAAGCTTTTTATTTTCACTTTCTCTTCACCTAAAGAAAAATATCACTACTCATGTTTGATTTCCATTTCTTTC